AAAAAAAAAAAAAAAAAAAAAAAAAAAAAAAAAAATGTGCAGGGATTGCGAAGATACACATGCAAGTAGCACAATAAGTGGAAAGCATAATTTTGTTCTTTTAACTTTTGCATGATGTACAGAATAGGAAATATACACAGCTCTGTAGAGTTATGATTCATGCGAAAGCACCATCTGCAACACATCGTATTGTTTATTCATCTTCCTCTACAAACTGATTATTTAAGAGTACACGTGTCGTGAAAGGGAGTACATGTACAGGGGTGACACTTCAATGATATGCAATATAGGACACCTTCATTTTGAGGGCGCACGGAATGTGGGCCAACCGTTGTCTCTTTGCGGTCACGTCATAAAGACGACCCCGTGTGCTGTACTTTGCTTTGACCATGCGTGTGTGCGAATAAGTGGTAATTAACAAAACAAAATGTCAATTTTCTGCCCTTTTTCTCTTCCTCCCTAGAAGCGGCGCCTCTGTCCATGAGGGATTATTATGGCCACAGGGTCACTGCATATCAAGTTCCAAGCAAGGGAAATACCAAGCTGTCATTCCTGTGTATATATGTTACACTTATTCATGTGTATGCATTTATATTTGTCCCCCCGGCCGAAATGCTCAACACTATCTGTGAAGAAGCCTCTACGTCAGTAATGGATGAACTTACAGACATATGCGCCAGCAGCAGTAACGAAGAAGCAAATGTAGTCTACATAAAGGGTTCCAATAATTTTGTAAAAAAATTGGAGTATCACAAAGATGAGACAATTCGGGACGTCCTTACGCGCAATGGGATCCTTAAGGGCCCGGATGGTTTTCTTTACCAAATTAGAAGCCACCTAATGGACCTTGATAACACGTTTGCACACTATAATATTTGTTCAGGTGAAATTATCTACATTTTGCCTGAACCCGCACCCTTGCCTTATTTGATTTATCTTTTCCATCAGAAGTCCGGGAAGGTGCACGTAAGTAGGGTACGCGGTCGTGCAGAATATACCGCGGAGTCACTAGTTAATACAAATTCATGCGGTCCTACATGAGCATATTCATTTTAACCACCTGAATACATGTTGGCGTACCCTCCTTTTCCTTCATGCAACTGTCCCACGCAGTGCATCGAACTCAACCACATGGATTCAGTCGGCATGCTGCACAAACAAGTAGAGAAAATTCTGCAAATAAAAGAAGACAACCAGATATTGATATACGGTGGCAAGTGCTTGAATAACAGGAAGACGTTACAGGAGGAGAAAATGTGCAGGGAGAGTTTAGTCACCATACTGGACAAAAGGGATATACCCGAGATAGAAACTGGGACCAATGGGGTGTGAAGCGCGGTGGGTGTAACCGCCAGATGCATCCTTTGCGTGATGGCCCTCCACGCCTCAGAACGGTGAAAAGGTATAAAGCAAAATTGAGAGGCATTAGTTGTGCTGCGAAAACGAAAGGTAGTAATCGTGTGGCAACACTGATAGCAACATTTTTCAACAGAAACATGTACACCATAGTACCAAGTGGTGCTTAAGGATGGGGGGCGAAAACCGATTCTGTTCTATGAGCGGAAACAAAATCTAGCTGAATGCAAATTTCTTTTCACTATGTATGTGTACGTGTCCCCATCCATATATTATACACCGCCTTTTTTTTCTTTTCCCCTTTTTAAGTATAAAACTTCTTTTTCTTTTTAAGCCGTACATGCGGTGAAAGCGAGAAAACAAAAGGACCATGGGTAGCGCTCTTTGATTTGTCCTTCTTCCGTCTTGCGTCGCCAAAAAAAATTGTGCGCTGTGTTCAATTGTAAAGTACGGTTTTATTTGGCACATATTTTGCTCCTTTAACGCGACGTGTTGCTCAGCTGGAAAAAATGTGCACTGAATTGGAAGTACGAAATGCATGTCCATGATTACACTTCACGGTGGCATAACTCATTTGAAGGGAAAAGAAAAAACAAAGTTAATGCCACATAACGTCACACTTTACAATTTTTTCTATGTCCTTCAGTAAATGAGTTCTCCACGTGGTTGTTAATTTCCCCTTGCGCCATTTTGACAGGCGCAGTCGTTTTGGGCTGCCTGAATCTGGGTTTCCCAATATATATGACGGTACCCCGACCAGGGAGCAAAATGGCTCAGGTAGAGATGTTTGGAGGCAAAAATAAAATTTACAAACTTGGAAAAAAATGACAAAGTGGCCAAATAGCCTAATGGCAAAGTGAGAAGGCTATACTACTCCCGCGTATATGAGAAAGAACACCCGGAATGTTGTCCCTAGGCCATATGCTCGCGGACGCGCATGTGCGCATTGGTTCATGTGTGTTCTTTTTTTTCTTTATTGCCCGGGCATGATAGTACACCCGCGCAGAAACCGTTGCGAAAACAAAAAAACAAAAAAAAAAAAAAAAGAGGCTAGGGACTAGAAACAGGGAAATCATCTCGAGGAATAAGTTTTTGAAAATCGGGCCATTGCAAACTTTTAAATAAGCTAAAGGCACGCAAACAATCTGAGAGGGAGATGGTAAGAAGCGCATTCTTATGCTTCTGCATAAATGTTATACACGTTACGTATGCGAGCGAATGAACCACTAACGAATGGTTACCTACATTAAAGAAGGGGAAGAAACTCACCTGATCTGATCATACAAAAAAAAAATTATTGACTCATAAGAATATTGCAGTAGAGCCTAGGCGCTACATTCGTTTCCAAGGGGACTCAGAAATATGCCCTGAGGACAAAAGGAGGAAAATACATACTTCAGCATTATGATGAAAAGCTACTTATCGGAAGAAGATAAACTGAAGTTAACCATAAAAAAAAACTATTTGGAGAGAGATGCCATTAAAACGAAAATTTTGAACTACTTGAATAGGTTGTCGCACCTGTGCTCAGGTATGTAACGACACACAGCGAAGCTGAGGGAGAGGATGGCGCTTTGCTGAAAAAGTGTGCCACCACTACTACAGGGGATCCTACCCACTGGCAGTTTGTTTGTTCTGAATTTGCTTCCATCTACAACTTTAGCGCATTAACTCTGTTTCATATTATCCCGTGTTGTTCAATGTTATTTTCCGTTTTTCCCATTTTGGTATATTTTTTCTTTTTTTTTAAGATGAACAAGGTGAGCTTAACAGAAGAGAAAGACAGAAGCGGGGATTCTTCGAGGAAAACTTGGTAAGTGCCCATATTTGGTGCCGTCTTCCCTAAGCACCTTTTTTGGAATACCTTCTAATCTCACTCGGTTGGCGTGGGGTTCCATCGAGGACAAACAAACATCCCACTACTCTGCAACATTAGGGGAAACCTTGCCTTATTCTGAGGTGGAACCTCTGTCCCCGCACCCATTTCATATAAATCATTAAAGAAAATTGTCCACTGACCAATTCATGTACTGCACCATGTTTTGCAATTTTTCCAATTTTTAGGAGGACTTTCCCGAATTCAGGGTAGAGAAGCGGGTAAGTTAAGAAGCTAGTGGCAGGACGTGTTCATACAAGCGTAACACCTGCTTCGCGTGTATGCACACCGATGGGTTGTTGGCGGCGTAAGGAATAAACGGTTTCCCCCCGTTCACCAACTTTGCAGCCCAAGCTAGAGGAAGATGAAAGGACGGTGACGAGAAACAGGAGGCTTCTTCAAGTGGGGCTGTTTGAGCACCTGAAAAAAGCGAAGGATGCCCTTGAACAAGAAAAAAGCAACGAAACCGTCATCAGGCAACAAATGCAAAATAAAAGAGTGGAACAAAAATTACAGGAAGAAAAAAAAGAATTTGAAAAATACCAACTTGAAGATATAGAGAAAAAAATAATTACACACATGAAGGAAATAAAAAATGCGGACTCTCACATAAAAATAGACGAAGCAAAATTGATGAAATTAAGTTTAATTAATCATTACGAGAAAATGAAGAATTTCATAAGTACGAATTGTCAACCAACCATTTTTTGGTGCCCTTTTAAATTTAACTCCAAAACAGAAATGCTGCAAAAGGAGACTGACAATTTTATTAGAAAAAAAATAGACGCTATTAAGGAATCGAATTATGAGGTGGACTTTGAGGAAGAGCCTTGGGTGCGTCAGTTTCAAAACTTGAAGGAAATCGTGCGCAGACGCAACAGGGGAGAGGGAGAAGCTACGGTAGCGCAGAACGCCGTGAACCACGCAGATCGTGCAGAGCAGGAAGTCAAGGAAGACGAGAATGACGAGAAAGATGTGGAAAACGAGAAAGATGACGAAAAAGAGAACGATGAAGAAAACGAGAAATATGTGGAAAACGAGGAAAATGAAGAAAAAGAGAACGATGAAGAAAACGAGAAATATGTAGAAAACGAGGATAATGAAGACAACGGGAAAGATGTGGAAAACGAGGAAGATGAGGAAAATATCGTGGAAACGAAATCCCCCAATGGAAGTCACTACACTGATGAGGAAGAGCAAGATACGCAGGGCACCCCCAAGAAAAGCACCAGTAACGACTCCGACGTGAACACCTTGCAAAAGGGTAATACCTGCCCTGCGGGGGACAGTATAGGCCGCGACGAATTTTACCCGGGAAGCACCGGCCAGGAGGACTCGAAATGTAGGGAGGCCAGCGAAGCGAACGAAGCGCATAGCGGGGATGAAGCAGGTGAGCGAAACGATACGAACGAGACGATAGAATTGGACAAAGCCAACGAGCACAACGAGGCCAATATCACGAACGAGACGAATGAAACCATCGAATTGGAAGAAGTGCACGAAGCCAACGTCACGAACGAAACGAATGAAACCATCGGTGACAATGACGCCCCCGGGGAACACGCGCACCCGGTTCAGAAAAAAGCCGGGAAAAAAAAAAGGGGCAGACCAAAAAAAAAAGGGAGGTGAATGGCTGGGGGACAGCCAGGAGGCGGGTTGCCGGGGGAGGCTAAGTGGTCGCAATGGGAAATGTACATAATGTATAAATAAATATACTTGACATGGAAAACTCCGATATGGGCGGAAACGAAAGGCCGAATGCGTCGAAGTGCGCAGTACGCAACATAAATGTAGAAGCAGCAACAGCAGCGGTAGTATGGCATGTGCACGCGGTGCTCGTCGAGCCATTCACGTATACTTGTCTTTTTTAACCAAAACGATGTTCCCCCACTGCTTCTTTTTAATGTTTACGTTTTTTTTTTTTTTTGTCTTTAGCTTTCTTTAATTCGTATAAGTTGCAAACACGTGCATGTATAAATGTGCGCGTTGTTTTCTTTTTTTTTTGTAACTCGCCCTTAGTGTAATGTTAAAGTATGTGGATTAAATAAGTGGCGGTTGATTAAAATGGAGGCACATATATACTGCCAGCAAAATGTCACATTCACACTGTTCACATGTGTAATCATGCGGGACGCGGGCATGATGGGCCCCATTAAGACACCCCCTAGGTTATGCTAACTCATGGGCAAAAAGAAACCTTACAAAAGTACAGCTTTCCGTGCACACCCAACCGCGAACACTGTACCTCTCAAAGTTCTTGTAAAATCCATTCGGTAATTTCCGCCAGAGTATCCTTATTCTCTACTTGCACACCGCGTAAAAAAGAAGCAACGCTGTCCTTCGAATATTTAACATCGCTGTTAAAAATAAATTTTAACTGTTCCACTAAATTGACGTCTAGGCAGTCGGAAAAAATGTTTCCATCTTTAATCATCCCTTCAGATACGTTGAAAAAAACCTCGAACTTTCCAAAACTGAATTGTTTACATAATCGGTTTTGAAACTTGGGAGTTTTTCCATAGCACCAATCCCAATCCTTGAGCAGATTAAAATATTTTAAAAATTCTGGATTTTTCGTAATGCTTTCATTTGTGTCTATGTAATGGATATTAAAATGGGTTGAAATAGGGGACGAGTTATCGATTAAATTGTCTAGGCTCTTTTCCACTTCCCCTTCCTTTAGGTGCGTGATGGGCTGTTCGGGTGGAGTGACACCCTTGTCCCCACCTGTGTAGTCTTCTACATTTAGCGTCGCAGCGTGGCTCTCTTCCCCCTGCTCGGTCAGGACTGCATTTTTGTAAAACGCGTGAAATTCTTTAATTAGCGCGCAGCATAAATTCTGGCAAGTAATATTAGAATTTATCTCCTTCAAGTTGATGGTTCGAGCATTGACACTAGACACTCCGTGTTTTATATATTTAATCTTGTCCGGAGTTAAGTATAATTTTAAAACGTCCTTCTGAAGGTTCACCATTATAGTCCCATGGTGCAGGAACACATTTTTGATTTTTTTAAAAGCAGAGCCTGAGCACTTTCGATCATTCACAGTTATGTCATTTCTTCCCTGCTTTTTCGCATCAATGCCAAAGTGCCTTTTCAATGTGTTTAAAATGATAGAGAAATTGTTATCTGTATTTAGAGTATTATTTAAAAAGGTGAAACAAAGATTTTGTAGATCGTGGTAGACTGCTCCTCCACCTGTGAATCGACGAGCCACTAGGACATTATTTTCTTTTATATTTTCTAAATTGCATTCGCTCCAAATATTCTGGTTTTTTCCGATTATAATGGATCGGTTGTTTCTCCATAAGAACAGAACAGGGTTGTCAAACTTTTCAATTGTGTTCACATTTAAGTGTTTCAACAAGTCGCTGTAATTATTTAGTAGAAAATTTTCTACGGATAAATTAAAATGTATATTTTGGTTGTTCGAAATTAGGATTAGTGGGTTCGCGCTCTGCGTCCTTTCTGATGAGTACCACCTTTTACGGGCTACATTCATTAGCTGCTTCATCTTGCACGATTATCGGTCTCCTTTCGGCGTGCGTGTGCGTGAGGTTTGTATAATGTGTGTTCTTCGCTTTGTAGAGAAGTAGTGATGGATCTTCTGATGTTAACAGCCCCGTTGTCGTGGTTGGTCCTCGGGGGTTCTTTCGCCGCGCCGCCGTTGCGCTCTGCGTTTCATCTAATTTTATGTTAATTTGCTTTGCTATGCTTTGTATTTCTATGCTTTGCTTTTCCTTATTTTTTCCTGTTGCATTTTTCTTCAATTTTGAAAAGTTGTTCCTTATCTGTGTTTCGCGTTGCCCCTTGACTGACTGTTCCACCGTTGTACCAACGCGGCTACCACACAGGTCCGACATGGGCGCCATGGATGCATGGTGCTAACTCGTTATTGTAGGGCACATAGCACGCTAAAGGGCGCATTCCATTCCTCACAGTTAGGGGGTGCACAACGCGTTCGCCCTATGCTACTTGGTTAAACTGTATCCCGGGAAAAAAGATACATACATAAATGCACACCTCTGGCTAAATTGTCGCGCACGTCCGCCACGCTGATATTCATGTAAACAGTTCTCCGCTTTAGTGTTTCTCGCGGATTTCATTTTAATGCCCCATCATATGTACCATTGAAGTGTAAAATTTTTTTTTTTTTTTTTTCTTCATTTTGTACAAATATGTTACATATTTTGCAGGAACGCACGGCGAATGCGAGTGCAGCATTGCAACTAGGTAGTCTGCCAATCAGTTAATCATTAAATTAGTTGATTTTATTTCTGTTTTCTTTGGTGGGCCAGTTTGTGCTGCTTGTTCGTGTATTCATTTTGTGCGGGAAATTTCCTTTTTTTTTTTCAACACATCTGGTTTATAAGCGGTTACGCACGATCACGTTTGTTTGCGCGTTTGTAAAGGACGGTACTGTGAACACTCAGAGGTACAGCTACATTCAGTTCACCCCTTTATCGCAGCAGCAGAGTGAAACGCGAGTGTGCATATGTATGCGCATACGCACATTTAGGGTGTACACACCACTTAGGGTAATTGATACAGGAGCTACCGAAATTAGGGTGCCATCGCGCAGGCCTGGAAATCCCCACACGTACATGCACACATGCATACATGTGCTTGTATGTGACGAGACAAGGACGTGAAGTGAAAAAATGGCCTTTACAAAAAGCCCCGTTGTTGTGTCACTCCTGCTGGTGTTCCTATTGCACGTAGCGCGCTGCACTCACCTTATCATAGGTCCCCTGGAAAAGGATTGCCTTCACTTCCGAGTTGACAAAAATAACATCATTGTTGGGTAGGCATGAGGGATAAATTGCTTTTTTCCGCCTCTCCAACCGGGGCGTGGCGTGGGCATATATGTGCATGATGGTACACACATAATCACATATCTATACAGTGTTACCTATGCGTACGTATAATCCTACTTAGCATATACTGGATGGTAGACACTTGAACGCGCCCACCATTACCTCCCCCCTATCAGGTCGTATGAAATAATAGACAAAAGCGCATTATGTTTAGTGTACATAATCAACAGAAATGACAAAAAAAGGGAGAAACTTTTCACGTCCCAAAATGTACAGGACAAGTTCGAGGTTAAGGTGAGTAAACCGGAAGTAGAACAAGTTTTAAATGACTATTCACTTTGAAAATGTTTTACCGTGCCATTTGAATCCGTTTGGAACACGGAGCACCTTTCAAAAGTGTGTCCACGACGGGACCAGATGTTCATGTACATGCTCACTTGTGTGTATGTGTATGGATGTACGTATACACATTTCATATACAAGAACAACTTTCTTATTAATTCATTTTTCCCTTTTTCACCTGGACAAATCACAAAATGCAGGTTGCAAAACCTGGCATCTATTCCTTGTGCTACGCGAATCAGAAAAAAACAGAAATAACAGTAATGTTCACTTTGAGGGTAAAAGAAAGTCACGACGCTGCTGACGCTGAGTTAGGTACAGCAGATGATGTACAAAAAATAAATAACCAAGTATCCCAGTTGTATGAACAAGTAAGGACAATTTGAAATTAAGCATTTTTTTACCTGACTTGTTTTCATATATTGTTTTCTCTTCTTCTCTTTTCTGTACACCCTTGCGTGTACATGCTTATTTTTTTGCTTTATATTTATGTGTGCGTCTACATAAATATGTAACATTCGTTTTTCCCTTTTTGTGGCAATCACGTTATTAGCACTTCTTATTCCCCCACCCTTCCCATGTTGTTAGTTTTTTGAAGTCTATGAAGAACAAGAAAAAATGATGGAGACAGCAGACTTGTATAAGCAATTTAACGAAAAAATGAATTCGAAATTAATTCTGTGGTCACAAGTACAAATAATACTTTTAATTGCGTTAACCATAATTCATATATTCTACATTAAATCCTTTTTCGACATAAAAACTATCGTCTAGTGTGTTTTTTGGCCGTGCGACGACATGTACAAGTGTTTCGCTCAGTTTTCGTTCCTGTTTATATTTATATACGCTCATCGCAGATACGTCAGGACATACACACCTACGTGAATGTATGTGTATGTTTGGCATATGCACATCACGGTGAATATACACACACATATGCGCATATTCGTGGAATGTTTCAAACGAATTTTGACTTAAACTGTACTCCATATAAAAACATGTTTTTGTGTTATAGCTTTTGAAAAACTTTAATTTTTTCCTGTGACTTTTAAGAACATTTTTCCCAACTGGTGAAATGGCGGCATAATCATAGCGGGGTTGTATTGCGACAAAAGATGGATCTGTTTTTGCCAGCAATGAGAAAACAAAAAAAACACAAAAAAAACAATAGAATAATAAAAAAAGGAGGATATGATGCAAATGTTGTTAACTCTACGGCGTGAAGCGATTAAAAATTAATTGCTACACCTGCATGAGAAAAGAACGAGCTTACAATTCCTGTGATGGGATTCTTCCACAGAACGCGTACATCGACGTAGGCAATTTTTTTTCTTGAGAGATATAAAAATATGTTTTTATCTATGCATCTCCCAATTTTTTTTGCATGGTTTGTAAGTTTAATATAAAAAAAAAGAAATTCTTTTGCCCAAAATTTAAGTTTTGTTTTTTTTTTTTTTTTTTGTCACATGTGCGTGTAAATTTTTCTTTTCTTTCTTAAATTTGGAACAAGTTAAAAGGTTCCTTTCGAAGGCAATTGCAAATTTGCATCGTCTAATGTTTTTAAGTTGAGTGCTGGAAAAATAGAATTCCCTATTTCGTTCGCGCTTTGGTTTTTAGCGTTCGTCCTTGAACATATCGCATATGTCATGTGTGGTGAACATTTTTTGTTGGTAGCCAGTATTTCTGATTTGAGGAGAGCGCTTCTCGTTTGTGCTCAACCCTTACCCATTTTGGATAATCGTTTCTCATTTCCTACATTTGGCCACGAGTTCGCACTCATCGCGTCCCGCCGATCTACGCAACGTTGAAGCACACAAGGTTATAATGGTACCTGCACTCGCCAGAAAATTTTTTGTCAAAAATAAACTAAATGACAATGTTACCATTAAAATAAAATATATGTGTAGGAAGAAATTTGGCGGCGTGAAATTCTTAGATGGAAATAGAAAGGCCGATGAGTCCATATACTTTAAGAAGGAAGGTACAACTCGTGCAATCGACACTTGATGAAACGTGTTGGTGTGAAGATTTTTCATACGACGATAATGCTCACAGAGTTGTTCCTCCTTATATGGCATAGTTCACGCACTATGGAGAGTCCATATGTGTGTCCCCCTTTTACTCTCATTTCATATGTGCATTTTCCCCCGTCCCTCTGGACGCTTTTCCTTAGATGAAGCCTTACTAAGAAATTTACTCAAGAATAACCCAGACCTGAACCCAGACTTCAATTTCACCGATGCTGAGGGTGGGATTAATAATTTGTCCAACGATCTCTGTATGGTATTTTCAAAGCATGGCATAAAAGGGTTAAATAATAGTGACGCAATTAAAGACATCATTAAAGTGTTTGAGTTAAATGGGTACAGGAAAGTAATCGACCAGTGATGCGTTTCTTTGAAGTGGGAGATACGCAAATTTGGCGTAGCTTTACAGGTTTGGCGGGGCACTCTAGTGGAGGGCCCGGTCGACATTGTGTAAATTTTATAACCGTTCAGCTTGAATTGTGGCTAAAGTGGAATGCAACGAGGGCACATGTTTCCGTACGCAGAAACATTCACACACACTGTCGCGGTAGAGGATACTGTTCTAACATATTCTGCAAAGCCGCTCGCGCTTGATCGGCACACATGGTGAGAAAAGCCTCCTGATTCGAAAAGGCCTGTCCTCCCGAGGACGCCACACAACTGTGGGCACATGTTCGCCCATCCATTTTTACAAATTTTTATGTTTTATTTTCGTTACGTTTTCTCTACATTTATAATTATACACTATTGGAATGTGTCCCTTCCCCCCCCCTTTTTTTTTTTTTTTTTTTTAATTGAACCATTCGCAGTGTGACGCACTGTAACACATAAGATATTTGCACTGATCACATTTTAAGTTGCAAATTTCGGGTACGTGGTACATCCGCAAAATCGTAAAGGAGTGAATCCTGCTGTAGCTTCCATTTCGTTGTGTTTGCCAAAAAAAAAAAAAAAAAACGCAGGAAAGTGAGTTACTTCGTATCGGAGAAGTATAGCATACTGAATAACCACCAGGTGTGGCTCCATTTGTAACCCCGTTGAATGTGTCGGAAGTTTTTTCCTTTCTGTATGTTTTCAGAAGTTCCAAAGGGGTATTAAAATGAGCAAAAATTAATTTTATAAAAAAGCACATTTTTGTAAAATTTTCCATGTGGCTCACTACTTTCTACTGTCGCATCGTCGCAAAGTGTTGAGGCGAAAAAGGTGCTAGCCACACATTCGCTCAGAGGAGGAAAAAGAACAATTTTCACCGAAGAGGTGAAACAAAGGTTCTCTCTAAACAGGTGAAAGCAAAGTTATCATCAAAGAGGTTCCCCTTTCAGAGGGGCTAAATGGGAGGAGAAGCAGGGAGAGAAAACGTGATGGGAGTGAAGCGAAGAGCCACAACGATGTAGAAAGGATGAAGGCACCAGCGTGGCTAAGCTTTACACATGTAGGAAGGAGATACTTTGGGAGTTCGTATTTGACGAAAAAGTTGAAAACGATAAACGACCGGGCTCTCAAGTACCATGAAGATTATATAAAATCGTTAGATATCCTGGAAGGGAAGAATAGAAGCGTAATGAAGGAAATTTTCCCGAACAAAAAAAGCGAAATAAATGATTTGTTCTTTCAAAGATGTGCAAGTTCAAACTCAGATGATAAATCCAAGGTAACAGAAAACTTGGACGATGATGTAGATTTGTTAGATCTGCATAAATCAGAAAAGGGTGAGTATCAACAGGAAATGAAAAGAATGATATTAGATGAATTCGGATGTGTAAGAGTAGTACATAACGACATACTGGAGGAGGAGGCGGACTGCATGCTGATCCCAATGGTGTCAAACTTTGTTCCTCTAAGTGGATTTGGTGCGTATGTACTACACAGAGGTGGGCGAGAATTAGTAAAGGAAATATTTATCACCATAAAGACACTAATTAAGAAACGAATAGATGTATTAAATGAACACAGAGAAGAATACTTATCGGGAAGCAAAGACAAACTTAGCAGTGAAAAGGAGTTTAAGAAAATGGCTGAAAATGCAAAATCGTTACAAGTAGGAGATGTTATTTTGTCTAAGCCTCATAACGTTAGCGACAAGGTAAAATTACTGGCCTTTTTAATAATGCCATATTTCTGGCAAGGAAATAATTATGTGTCTTCAAATAAGTTAAGATACTCTTTCTCTAGTGCGTTAAAACAACTAAATGAATTGTGTATTTCTTCCGTCATCCTACCCGATATGGCATCCGGCATTTATGGCTACGCACCAAGCAGCTCCAGTCACATACTGTTGGACGAAGCAGTCGAATCGATACTACAAATTGGTGCCACTGTCCCCCTGTACAATTTGAACTCCATTTCTATTGTTGATAAGGATATAAATACATGCAAAACTTTTAGTGAGGCACTTGAAGACGTATCCAGAAATTATCTTCCTCATAAAAAAGTTCTTCCTGCCCCCAAGTACTGGAATGTTGTGAATAGGAGACTACTGGAAATTCCATCCAATGTAATTCACTTTTGTAGGAGGCATAACAAAATTTCTTTTAGAAAATATCATGGCATTATCAGGCGTAAGTTTCAACATTATTATAGCAATATTAGGCCGTTTAAATGGAGAGCATCTAGGGTTATCGAACCGAACCCTTTTCTTGTCTATCAAAATTCAGGAGAACCTAGCTCCTATCAGTATGGCCCCAAGTCTTATTACTACAAGGGCGTTTCGCACACTCTTTACAATATTGGTAAAAAGGGCTTGGTTAACATCCGTGTGGGGCGCCATGGAAGGTTACAGGCGCTGAAGAGTGTGTCCAACATTTCGCTTGAGACGAAGCCACGCCTTTAGTGGAGAGTGCAGAGGAAGGAAAGATGCTATCCCGTTCAAATTGGATCCATCGATTTCCTCTCGATTTGTGTCACCGTACTGGGTGAGGGGGCGAAGCCTCGTCCCTAATTTTAAACATGTAAGGCCACGTGGTTCGCAGTTCATCCCGGATGAGACCAAACAGACCGTAGTATTGAGTCAAATGGACCCGTTTTTTCCTCCGTTTGTATCGATTAATGAGCCTCGTCCTGACGATTCTCAGACGCCTAAGGCATGGGAAAAGGGGGCTGCTGGCATTGAACACCCGAGCGTACCGCAACGCCTCCATCGCAGTGTCGACTAAAAAAAGTTTGACAAATTTAATCTTCCTATTTTTTATAAGTGACTTTCTCAAATATGAAATTAAATAAAAAACAAATCTCGTGTTGTAACAATCGTTGTAAAAGGCATGAAACATTCTCTTCAACGACTTAATGGAACAAACAAATTTTAAGATGGAGCTTTTTAGGAGAATGAAATTATTCTTGTAAGCAAAGTAGGCATTCTGCTTGTTTCTGTAAATCATTGTATTTTTTTTCATCTTAGATATGACATTTCTTATGATTTTACTTTCCACTAAAAATTTCATGTAATTTATTGAGGAGTTTTTTTCTGCAATGACATTGTTTAGGTGTAGGTGGTTTCTAATGGTTGCGTCTTGTTTGTTTTTCCACTGGCACGATGTGCTGTGCACGCAGTTGTTGATGAAATCAAATGTGTATGAATTGTTTAGCCAGTCGATTGGCATCACTCCGCGGTGCTGCCCAGCAGCCCAGCGGTTTACACACCCACATTTTGCGCTTCTCCACCCTTGCCTCTTCAACCGCGACAGGCGCCACAACCGTTTCAACCGTTTCAGGTACTTCTTAATTTTGTGTCTCCCTCTAAAGGATGGTCTTCCTGTTAACCTTTTCCTTTTTTCGAGTAGCTCTTTTATTAGTTTGTTAGTTTGCGCTTCGGTTAGCTTTGCTGCCCTTTTTGTCTTCGCCATTTTGACGGTCCCTTTTGGTGAGGTAACCTTCATTTGAAGTTCGCCACTGGAGATGCTACATTTTGCGCGACTTGGCAAATTATCACTCAATGGAGCGCTTGCAACTGTCTCGCTACCGTGAGGTATTAGCTTCCTCTTCCGTTTCGATTCGCTTATCGCTCCGCTTATTGCGCTGCTCACAGTGCTGCTCGATGGGGTCCTGGTTTGCTCCTGTGTGCTTATGAGGTACGGGTCCGAGGAGGCGCGTTCAGTACTCAGCACAGGAGGATGCCTGGATGTGCACAGTTGCTTTGGCAGAGTTGGGCGCGTCTCCTCCTCTCTATTACACCTCTTTCCCCCGGAGAGCACTTTGGCTTTCCAGAAATTCTCCAGAAACAAAGTATTCCTATAAATAAGGGGAAGCTTGAAAATTTTTGTCTTGGACGAATTTATATTGCCCCCCCAGATTTTCCTTGTGAGCAGAAGCTTTTTAAATTGCTTCATATTCCTCTTGTTAACTGTTATAAAGAGAAAATCATCAATAAATCTGATTAGCAGAGAATTCAGGTTTTGGTACTTTACCGCGTTAGCATTTTTTTTTGGGAGCTGAGGGGTGTCTGTTCTCCCCTGGTCCTTATCTGTATAGAGAATATTTTGAAATTCTTCATTTCTGTCCAGGTAGGCGTAGTACATGGAGCACAGGATGTTGGACAAGCAGAATCCCTGCGGCAGTCCGCAAATATCGCTGATGATTTTTTTGTCTTGAAATGTGACGAAGTTTTTTTCTGCATACGTACGGACGCTTTTTTCTGCCTCTGCTCCGGGGTTCCTATCAGGGAAATTGGCGGCGCTCCTAGTGGCGCAATTGGGGGCAATCTTTTCTGAACAACCTATGCTCATCTCTTCCCCTTTTGTGAACGCCGCCATTTCGATGCCATTCTCCCCGGGTCTTCGATCCACCAGTTGGTCTTTGTTCTGCTTCTGTAACTCAGTGGGGTTCCCCCTCACATCTTCACCACCTTCACCATCGTCACGTTCGGAAGTGCTAGTGGTCATGGTGGTGCTTAGTGCAGGATCCTTCAATTCCATCAAGTTGGCCATATTTCCGGTCTGTCCATCTGGCAGGCAAAACCCAGTTTGCTGTGTGCTGCCCACTTCTTGTGTGGCGCTCTCATGAGCTTTCTCAATAACCCCCCCCCCCATAATCGCTTCCTGCTCCTGCTGTCCCTGCAACCGGCGCAAATGATCCAACTTCCTCCTGCTACGCAAGCTGCGATAGATATCTTCCCTTTTCTCATGCTGAAAAAGCTGAAAGTAGAAAATATTTTTCCACTGCATTTTTATTTCCTTGATACTGAAATAAATGTTTAAGTAATAATACCTGACGATGGTAATGATGGTCATGAAAATGTCTCTCATTTCTACTTGCACACTTTTGTAGGAATCTGAAAAAATATACAAATCATTGGACGACGTATTCTTAAAGAACTGTCTGAGCAGGAAGCTGTGAGACTTATTCGAGTTAGATTTTACAATGAGTTCTCTCAAATTTTTAATGGAGTGTATGCCAAATTCTTTTACGTTAACAGGGTAATAGGTTAAGAGGGAGTTGTTCATATAATGGCTATACAGGCGGAAGGATCTTTTAAAGACATATATAAATTCAAAATTTGAAATGCCATGAAAAAAATGCTTCATCATTTTGAACATATAATTATGCTTTATATGTTCATAGCAATTGGAGAAGTCTCCGATGCAGATGTATGCATAGATGACCTTTCCTTTTTTTAATTTATTTTTTATATATTTTTTATTTTTCTTTTTCCGATAAAACCAGTTTTTCAAATAATCCAGCCATTTCTTCAGCTTCAACTCCGTTTCGTTTGTCTTGGTTAGAGTATTTTGAAATAAAGCACTGTTATTATTTCTCACATTTCCCAAGCATTTTAAAGAGAAGTTACAAATATGATTTAAGGACACGGGGTTGAAGTTCTTTCTATTGTATTTTTTTTTTCCAGATTTTTTCTCTTTGGTATCTCTTTCCATGTTATTCAATATGTTGTGGAAGTAAAACTCGCTGCTTTTTTTATTTTTTAAAATCTCCCTGATTCGAGTTTTTACACTTTCTGGAATGTTCAGCGTAGACAAATTTATTAGCGGTCTTAGTCCTTTTTTTTTCGGCACCCAATTTATTCTTAGCTTTTTCGAAAAAAAGCGATTTATTGAATTCAGCTTGAGTAAAAAATTGCGCTTCTCTATCATGCTTTTTATTTTGTGTATGTGAATTTTTTTCTTTTTGACCTTTTCTGTCCTCTTCGTTCTCTTCTTATCGTGGTGTTTTCTGCGCGGGCTGTTGTCCATGGATATTGCTGCGCTTACGTGCTTCGTCGCTTTTTTGCGTCTGCTCTTATCATTTTTTCTACAGGACACAGTTATTTTGTCGTCTCTCCTTTCTTTTGACCCCTCCTCGCCAATCTGCTGCATGCCCATCATCCTCCTCTTAACCCGCTTGACCAATCTGAAAAACCGCTTAACGTAATTCCTTTTCGTTTTCTTAAAAAATCTCTTGCAAATAAACCTGAACAGCTGTCTTTTCTCGTCCGCAAAATGTATATAGTGTGCAAATTGTTTGTCCCGCAGCGGGGTCATCTTCCTTCCATGCAGCATGTACTTTTTCCTGAGGGAGAAGTACTTCTTCTTTACTTTGTAATAGAACTTGGTTAGGTAGGGTCTAACCGTGTTTTTACTCAGAATGGTCATTTGGTATAAATCTTCGATGCGTTTGTTTCGTTCGGTTGAGGTGGAGCTCCCTCTTCGTTTGTTCTTTGCACATTGGAAGCCTTCCTTTTTTTTGCTGTTTCGTATTAATGCACTTTGACGCTTTTCTCTTTTTTTCTTCCCCTCCGCTTTTCGCACTACGAGTGCGCGCTCCTTCCCCTTTTCGATTTGTCTCCCCCTGATTTGTAGCACACGGGAAGAGGCATTTATATCTGGCTGCTTCCTTACCAGTTTGCGTGCGCTACTGGGTTCGAGTTGTCTCACCTTGGAAATGGTATGATGATCCTTCTGGAGTTTCCCCCTCTTGACCTCTCCACCTGGTGTCCGCCCTTTTCCTGCAGACTCCGCCCTCCGCTTCAACTTCTTACCGCGGAAGTTCTGGTGGTACAGACAAAAGTTGGAAATCTTGGTGAAGTAGTTCCACGATTTCCTGTCGAAAAAAATGGTTTTGTAAATAGTGTGTTCCGATTTGGTGAGGAAAAAATACTTCCTCATTACAGGCATGATGAAATAGTTGAAGAGGAAATAAATGATTCTATTTAGCAAATGCCTCTTCAAAAGTGCTATGTGAATTTTTTTTTTTTTCCTCAAATATTTTCTCCTAATGGTCTCAAATAGGGATGTGTCTTTCTCGGGGTCGAAGAACCGGATTTGTTTGCTCCTCTTCTTTGGCTTCCACGTCTTTTCTTCTTGATAAAGGGTGTCAGTAGAACTTGGCTTGTGTAGTTCGTGGGACACAAGTTCAGTTGTATTCCCTTTCAGTGCATCTACTTGGACGTTATTCACGTGCCTGTGGGGGACCCTCTTTTGGAAGATATTTTTAACCCTAACGTGCTTCATCAATTGGTCCATGGTAAAATTCTCTTTATAATTAAGCAGGACAAAATTTTTCACATTTTTTATGAAGACCTTAAAATTGTGACGACTGCCCACGAGTTTCACAGGTACACATTTCTTCGTAATATGTACAAGGAAGTTTATAACTTGATAAGCTTTAAAAGAAAATGAAAGGAAGTCATAATTTTTAAAAAAAACATCATACATTTTTTGTTTGATAAATTTTCTATTTCTCCTTATATTTACAATTTTATATTTGTGAATAATACCTGATTTAATTGTTTTAAAAATTTTTCTAATTTTATGTTTCATTTTATTTTTTGGAAAATATTGGTTATATATTTTATCGAAATTTGCATGTCTGGCATTTTGTATGAATTGTTCGAAATGGCAGTAAACATATTTGAGTATCTTCGTTTTTTTCAAACGGGCGGACACGTTGTTTCGTTTGTCTTTACTCCTATTACAGAGTGCCACACTGGATGATGATGTAGTATTTTCCTTCCTGAGCAACAGGAAAGATATATCATTTTTTTTCGTGTTGCATTTGATCTGCTTGGAAATTTTATTCTTATATTCATCTATGAAGTTGTTGTGAAAAAAGTATTTTTGATCTGACTTGAAAATATAATTCAGCAAATGGTATGTGAACAAGGGTACATTTTCAATGTTGTCAAATAGGATGCTCTTATTTAGGAGGAAATTTTTGTACTTGTTTGTCGTGTTGTGTTGTAGGATATTATTTCGATTGATGATTATTTTGCTCCACTTTTTCTTCTCCTCCTGTGGGGCTTTGCACTTGCAGCTACTGAGAGGCTCCCTTTCCGGTTGTCCATCAGAAAAAAAACTTATCTGCGGTAACCCCTTGCTTTGCTCTTCTTTCTCCTCTCCATTTTCTGCTTCTGTCCTGTTTTCCAAAACATCGATGTCATCCCCCTGGGCCTCTTCCACCTGCTCGCTTTCTTTCTGTATCTGCTTAATCTCCTGGAGGAATTCATTTTTGATAATTCTACCACTACACTGGACTAGGTAAAGATGATTAACGTATTCGTTGACTTCGTTCCTCCTAACTGTTTGTTTTTTCTTTTTGAATAAGTATTTATATTGTTGGCTATCGATTTGTGTGTCATCTCCACAACTGGATCCCGGCCTTTGCACCTCTTTATTTTTCATTGTATATTTTAAGCGGTCTATTTGTATTCCCTCCTTTACAGCATCTCGTGTAGTATTTTTCTTCTTCTTGCATTTTCTACCTGCAACAACATTTTCTTCGCTACGACAATGGTCGATCTTCCTTTTGTTTGCGCCTTTTGCACAAGCAGGTTTAATAACAGATTGAAATTCTTCTTTGGGGTCTCCCTCCACTTGGTCATCCTCTCTTTGCAAATCTCCTTTTTGTGAAGCGCCATTTATGTCCAATGGGAAAGATGCCCCTTGGGGCAGGTTCTTTCCATCTGTGCGGACACCTACCACTTCTTCGGCCGGTTGGCATAGAACGGCTCTGTCAGGGGGGCGTCTACGCTGGTCCCTCTGGTAAAAGATTTTCACTTGTTTTGTGTTATATGCGAGCTTCCTCTTTTTGGAAAATATGGTGTCTTGCACGTCATTGTTGTCATCATACTTGAGGTCGACATGGCTAACAAGGACAAGGAAGGAATTCTGCACAGGCAGATTCGGATTCAGGTTAATAAAAAAAAAGTCCGATATGAAGATAAGTGTGTTGGACAGGAGATAATTTAAAAAATCGAAAGAAACATAATTAAAAAAAATGTCCCAAACTTTCAAGCTGTAAAAGTAATCACAACAGTTTTTATCTTCGTAGGAAAACTTGGTGGAGTTAAATAGCAGCACGGAGTTTTTGTAGATTTTACTCTTCTGATCATTTCCCTTTTCATTTAATTTTTTTTTTATATGACTATAGCCCTGTTTCCAATTGAGTATATTATTTTTTTTCTCTTTGAATAGGAAGTCCCCATGGTGATTTTTCTCGAGTCTTTTTAAAGTCAAGTCTTCTAGCAACAAAACATTTTGTAAAAAATATTGATAGTAAAAATCCTCTTGGAAGAATTTTTTGTCCATGATTACTTCGTTTAGGATGAACAGTTTGTCCTTCTTCCTCTTTGCAATGACATGGTCTTTTAAAATGTTTGCGCAGAATATCCTTCGGAACTTTTCATCGTGCTTGAGTGAGTATTCCCCCAGGGTGTAGGATTCCACGTTTAGTTTTTTCTTCAGGTATGTTTTGAAGATTTTTATTTTCTTGTCTGTGCACTGGAAGACGTTTCTCAAGCAGTTGTCGCTTCTCACGTAGTCGCCCCCATCTTCGCACATCCTGCGCTGCATCATCGGGATGGCACACTGAACACACAACAAAACAAGTGCCTCCCTGTATCACTCCTCCTCGGTGGATGTTTTCTCCCTGGGGGGTACATATAGGCATATGGACTGGCACACGGGTTGCCACATCACCTGCCACGCGGACTGCCACATTATGAAGGAGGAAATGTGCACACGAGGGAACGCGTGTTCCTATTTTATTTTTCCTTCAAAAGTTTGTGAAGGTACGTCCTTTTTTTTTGTGTGGATAACCTGCTTGAAAAACACGCCAGCCGCGGTGATGACAAGCGATCATGCACATGTGGGGGAAAGGAGAAAGGAACAAACAACTGCGTTGTACTTAAATCGGATTCCTCAGCGTATGCAAGTTTGTCACCGCGACTACGAACGCATAGGAGGTGAAAGTTAAAAAAAACGAGGCGTAAAATATATGGAAGTGCCTAATGTGAAGGCAAAAGGGGAAGTGCCCCTTTACAAAATGTTGGAGGACTCCTTCTCGCGAGGTATATCCATTTTTATTCCACTTCAAATGTATGATGCTACTTTTGTTACCAATATGTGTTTGCATGCAGATGCTTTTCCCCTCTTGGACGTTATTACATATTTGCCGTGGGGGACAATGCAAAGCGAAGCGGCGGGCAGTGTGTAGGCTTGTTAGGCACACAGGCCTTTGCGCATATGCCAAACGGGGTGAACACCTACCCCCCTTTTCGCCACAACATCTGGGATGAGGTTCTCCTCATAATCCCATGGTTCCTTTCTTTCCACCCTCAAAAAAAAAAAAAAAAAAAAACCAAATTCTGCCCCTACTTAACCCTTCTCTTTGTGGTAAAAATTTTAATTCTTTTTAAAACTAACATCGCTCAAACATTGTTTCATGTTTTTGAAATAAAAATAAAGTAGAAATAGCAGTACAATAATAATGACACAATAATGTGCTACAGCATGTCACACATGAATAAAGGTGTGCAAAGAAATGTAACTATTCTGATACTCACTATGAGAGTACGCATGGGGTTTTTTTTTGCCTTGGTCAAATTGTATATACCCAAATGTGGGAACGCAAAAATGAAGAAAAAAAAAAAAAAAAAAAAATGTACAACTTAGGAAAAGTTTCTTTTTTTCGCTTGCACAAGATATTCATATTATAGGCATGTCATAACCAGCGGTTAGGCGTACACATACAAATATACAAATTGCACAGGAGGGGAAAGGGGTCAAACGAAGGAAATGGAATCATTTAAAAAAAAAAAACAACACATACAAAGATGCGGCAAAGAAAAGACGGGGGTTGTCTCAAAATGGAGCCATGCATATGTATATGTACATACATATAAGTACATTACATGTAACACCGCGGTGTTTTCACAATACAATGTTTTACAAACCGAGCTGTGTAAATGTCCCCAGGGCGAATGGATTCAATTGGGGAGTGGCAACAGTGGGGCGCCCACTGATCGGCACTGTCTGCGTGGGACCGGGTGCCCCTCCCCACGCATTACGTCTAGGACGCTTTGATGCTGTTAACGCACTCTTCCACGTCCCCCAAAAGCATAAGGACGATCTCCATCTCATTCATGCTAACATCCGTATCCTGGTATGTCACCCCTTGCTGGTCAGGTCCGCGACCACGTGAGTATCCATTCATGTTGGTGTACAAAACGGAATTGGCATCCTCCTTCTTTTCCCTTTCTAGTATAGCTTTCTCCAACTTAATTTGGGTGTAAAAATGTTTAATTTTGCTTTGCACAAAACAAGCAGAGGGTTGTTCAAAATTGATAATGAAATTGTAAAAGGGTTTTAATTTTTTATTCAATAATATCATTTTGATAATATTCAGCACGACGGTGATGGCGTCAACGTTGAGGAGTACGGATTCTTCACTTATGAGGACGTAGACAATATTTTTGACTTGTGTGCCCAATTTATTTATTTCTTCAGCCACTTGTTTTATTTTTTCTAATTTTGTATTATCTCCAGGAGGGATAACCGCAGTACATGATTTATTTTTCTGCGCTTGGATAGCTTGGTTTAGTTCATTTTCAAATTCTTCATTTTTTTGAAAATCCTGTTTTATCGCATCTGCCTTTTTAACGACACGCACCATTTGCTTGTGCATTTCATCCTTTAAGAATGAGGCAATTACACTTCTGGTGTTATCTGGTATGGGTTCATTAAGCAGCTTGTAATATAGTGAGTACAACATATCCCATTTAAAATTCCTCATTATAATACACACAGCATTGTATATGGTCTTGGAATACGTTTTGTAAGTCTTATGATCATGAATGGTGCGATGTACAGTTTTTAAAAATTCCAAGGGTCTCCATCTGAAGTTGTAAATATTAGAAAACACTGCTCCATCTCTCCTTTGAATAATGTTGGATAAGACAGCAGAAAGGCAAATGAGGTGATAAGCTTTGATTAACAAATTATTTTTAACGTCCTCATCTGCTTCTGGAATGCATAGAAGTAAATTGTAACTATTTCGAATCATCAAATTAAAGAGATACAACTCTGAGTAAATTTTCGGGAAGGACAATTCATTTATTTTTTCTACAAATATGAGGTAACAGAGGATGGAAATTTCTAAGGTAGAATTTTCCAGAGCACAGGCTTTTGCATTTGGCATTAATATATTGACATGTTCTAAAAGACGTGGGATGTTTGAGTTAATTATACTTAGTCTCCATATGAGACCTGATAGGCAATCTTTCACCATTTTTTCTCTCCTATCCTGATATACATTTGACGATAACTTGGAGTAAATTTCCACACATTTCTGATACTCCAAATGGTCGTAATGAATGTATTTTACCATCCTTTCTATGTTTTTATTTATTGGTAATTCTGCATTGTGATAGCTTATGATTTTCATAATAAAGGCTATGATTGAGTGTAGAGCCACGTCCTGCTTATCGTCTTCCTGTGTTTTAATCGATTCATCACAGAGGACATTAGAAAACTTACACATAGAAATTAACACATCTATGCTGGTGACATTATCGTTGTAGTATGGTTTTCCTTCTATGCTGTAGAATTTTCCCAAGACTAAGGGAAGCATCTGCGCTATATATTTTGCTCTTTCCAGAGCTATTTTGTTTACTACATGTGCAAAGTACTCTAAGGATAATAATTTATAACGATAGCTGATCTCGGAATTATGCAAAATGTTATTGAACAAAACGTAACCATTTCTTGGGGACACATTCCTACTGAGGACATACATTAGTTCCATATAATTTACATTCTTTGTGCATGTCCTTATGAGATCCTTTCTGTAATCCTTTGTATTAAATCTTTTTAATTTATCATCCTGAATTTTTATTCTATACTGAGGATATACCTCGTCATAATCCTCATCGACCCATTTTTTTTTCTCTTCATGCTTATGCAACATAAGTCCTACATCTACACAATCCAGCTCATCTTTCTTTGGAATTTTATTTACACTTTGAATGTATACTATTACATCTGCTAAGAAGTAGCATGCATTTTTCTGAAAATCACGCACATGTATATTCTTTAGAATATACTCCACTAAGATGTTTGTGTTTTTGATTCGATCCTTGTTTAGGTACTCTTTCAACTGCTCTAAATATTGCTGGAATTTTGTACTTCCTTCTTTTAGATACTCCAGCAGATCCTGTACCTCATCCGGCAGGGTATCTACATTCCCTTCACTCATCCTTCCGTACGGTAGACAAACGAGAAGGAGAGTTTGGGGGGAGGGACGCAGGGTTCTTCCTTGTTCAATATTCCCAAGGCGACCTTACATACGTGGAAAACTTCTGCTCTTCCTGTACGCCCCTGCCCACTAGCCTCCGTCAGGCAGCGAATGGGGGAAGATATATTCTCAAATTTGTTCGCTGGGCCTCACGAAGGCATTATTTCTTCACCGCTTGGGGTGGCTCAAACAAACTTGGCGCAACAAATAAAATTTGCGGCACAAATGTACAAAAAAAAAAAAAGAACAGGTACGCACCTATACACAGGGATATAAATTCACGCATGCATCCCCAATTGCGCAACTACAATATCGTGTTGGGATCTTCACAAAACGATCGAACGTTATTGCAGCTTGCAGAACATCACTTCAGTGCAAGCAGTCGAAAAAAACATTTTAGCTGGTTAAGCTGGGATGCGATATAGTACTCATCAATGGGTAGAATGCAAATTTACTCAAATAGAGAGCTTCGCCTCGACAAATTCACCCTCCGATGAGTTACTTAAAAAGGTTGAGCAAACACTGCGCAGGAGAAAGTGGCATGTAGCTAACGGCGTACAGCTCAGGTTCAACTGCGTAGGAATCACAGGTACAAATGGCAAACACGCAAAGATGATTTCAAACAGAGCGGCACGCACGTACAATGATATGTTTATGCAAATTATGTTTCAGATGTTCAGCTGTATAATTCAAAAATACATGAATAAATATTGTGTAGCACGTGCATGCGATGGCGAAATGTGGGCACGATTATATATATAACGCGCCGTTCCTGTTTGCGGAGAATCTTCCTGCCGTGTTGGGGGACTTGTTTAAAATTTTCCTTCAATGTTCCTTTTTTTTTTTTTTTTTTTTTTGTTCTCACATGTAGGTCAACAGAAACAACAGGAAATACCTTTTAGGGTGTTTGAACAATATTTTGAGCAAATAAAAAACTGCATTTTATATCTATGCATAAGTATATGCATACATATATGTATGTGCACGTAGGCATTAGGAAGCTTTTGTGGAGGGTTCTGTGGTGTAAATTGTAACAGGTTCACAGGCGCATTTTTTGGGGTGATTTTCACGTTAGTATTACGCGTTAGTTTGGCTATTACCGCAGTTTTTCACATTATAGTGCTTTCCTATAATACGGTTGACTATGTATTTGCCGATGCTGTTGCCGATGCTATTGCTTTGGATCCCCTCTCTTTAAGTGGGAAAAGCCTCAGTTTTAGTTTTACTTTAAAAAAACATTACACACGGCAAAAGTTTGTTATAAAATGGGAAAAACTGTTGGATGAAAGTCTTTGTGTGTTTATCGGTTTGGATAAACATATCAGTTTGTTTTTATATGATATAAAATGGGGAAAAAGAAATATATACACATGTAACTATTCAAATTGTTCAGAAGGGTTTTCCTCAAAATCGGTTGAACATTTTTTTTTTTTTTCCACATTTTCCTTTTCACTGTGGTTATGTAGTGAAGGAAAAAAAAAAAAAAAAAAAAAACATACCATCACGGCGCTTTCCTAGTCATTTTTGTTTTAATCTTTAAGTATTTATTGTGGTCTTGATTCGAGCTCATACTGTTAGGTTTGTGTGTTAAGTACTTGATTCTATGCTCTTGTGGGGAATCTTTCCTAATGTACTTGAGATAATTAACTCCTGGTGGTGGTCCCGCGGCTCTGGTTTTGTTTTCAAGCGCAAAGGGGGCAATGGCTCCGCTAATTGGGTGGTTGCCGGACATGGCACTGGCACCACCGCTGTTCATACCGACACCCGTGCGAACCGTGTCAGCCTTGTTAATCTTAATCTTGATGTGGGACTCGGTGTATGTTTTGAAGTGCTCCGCTAGAGCTTTGATATCATAAGTAACCTCTCCGCCTCCACGGGGAGCTTTCAAAAATTCATCCCACATGCCGTCATAAAAAGACAAAACTACGTAGTTGTCACACTGAAACACTTTGTGCTTGAGTTGTATTTCTCCCATGATGTATCCACTGGATCTGTGAATAGGAGTACTGGGCAGTGGGTCAATGATGACGTTATAGTCAGTGAGCAAATAGGGCATTATATATAGCTGTTTAAATTCCACATTTTTCTCATACTTTAATTTTAAATAATTAAAAACCTCTTCGTAAGGAACTTTGGAAGTGTACTGATTATTTATCAATTTCATTTTGTAGTGAAAATAGGAAGTGTTTAGAAGGTACTGAAATGTTTTAAGAAAATGGCTAGCTGAGTTAGCATTCTTGTTGGTGTAGCTGTTTAAGGGAGTGTCTTCCAATGGCTGACTCCTTTTCCACCGATCTACATAACCGAATGAATTCCCACTGTAAAAATTATTCAAGTCTATGTAATTAAACATCATGGCACACTTCAATATTTCGTACAATAATTCATACTGCTTTTTGTTGAAGGCCCTCACATCTTCAACAATCCTTTTTATGAGGAAAAACCACGACACGGGGCAGACATAATTGGTCAGCAGAAAACTATATGATAGGTATAGGAGCAGTTTTTTGCTACATGTGAGAACTATTTTGCGAACGTCTATAAAATTCCAAAGGTTTATATTTTTCCTCCCGGCGATTCCAAAGGCGAGTGATATGTCAATAAGGTAATTCGCGTCCACATGCATGGAGTGTTTCGCATAGTTTGCATCACTTTCCACCATTGTGCCCTCTGCTGCCTCCGCCTCTCCCGTTGTTTCCTGTACTGATCGCATCACCCCGGCTTCGTCAGCGCTCTCCCCGGAGCGTCCCCGCGCACTGTTTAATTTTTCACCAATTACATTTTCCAAGTAGGTGAACATCTGCGTCGTATGGTACGGGTAAATACTCAACGACAGAATTATATTTGAAATGTTGTCCTGAGTCAATTTGTGCTTATTCATTTTTATTTTTTTTTCAAATGCCTGTATTGTCTTATTTTTTATCGCGTCATTTTTTATATACAAAAGGTACAAGCTCAAGACGGATGGGAAGTGCGAAATGCTGTTCACATAGTTATCACAAAATTTGATCACGTCTTGCGTAAGAGAGTTTTTCTCCGACGCACCTCCTGTCGTTATGACCAATCCGTTCTTTTCATCTCCAATAGGGACGTTACCCATTGTGGTAAAATTCTGCCTCTCTGCAAACGTCTCTGGAGTAGTAACTTCCTCATGGGTATCTTCCTGATCCAACTTATTTTTCGTCTGCCCCTTCACTAGAGGGTCATCTTTCCCGTAGGCAATGTTAACTGTGGACGGCAACAATTTGTTCACAACTTCATGCATGTTTAAATACACCGCTGCGAGATTATTTGGAGTGATCAATTCGCTATCTTTTTTTATTTTGTGGAGAATTTTGCTGACCAATGGGATACCATGGTTGCCTTCTTTTTTATCCCTCCCCATGATACCTTCTTTGATGATGCTTTCAACATTTTTTGCCCTCTTCAAATAATCAGCTAGCCGCACTAACTGGTCCTCATTCATATGGTCCACTCGGTCATGTAAGACTTGTGTCAAATTCCTGCTCATCATTTCGTCAGCACCGTTTAGGTAAATATTCGCTACACATAAAAGACTATCCGTGGGAAGTTCATTTCGATTGTTTTTCACAAAAGTCATGACTTTATCTGTGTAGTAAAAATTCATTTTGTCGTGAAAATTTTCAATGTACTTAAAAATTGTCAACATTTCATCATCTTCTATTTGTTTTTTCCTCTCTGCAGTTGGGTCACATGTATGTTTTGAGGAATCTCCACATTCTTGCCTCTGTATAGACGTTGCTACTCCTTCCATGGGGTTACCCCTGTCAGGTGATTTCAAAAAGGCGGATTCTCCGATCCTTCCTGGGTTCGTATTTGAGTCATTCGGTGTAACCAAATTTGTTACGTACCCATCGTTGTACCCCCGATTTAGGTGCTCGCTGCACAGGGGGGACTCTCTCCGTAGGAAGTTGTCATTCACCATTTCGGAACCACTTCGAAACGGCCCATTGCTGTTACTACTTAGGGTCCATTTCGAGGATGTCTCGTCAAACAGATCTCCAAAGGTGTACTTGTTATCCTTCGAGGGGTGACTCCAATACGTAGGTTTTCCCCTAACGAGGTCATCGTTGTAGGCTGTACTTATCTTATCATCAACCATTAAGGTGAGGTAACTGTCCACTTCCTTCGAATAAAAGTGCTTGTAAAAGGACTGGACCATATAGAATATTTGCACAGTTTTCAAATTATCAAGTTTGTCTACGTGCAGGTAGAACCTTTCCAGCAGGAGTTCCATAACCTCCAAATTTAAAGCATAATTCAGATAATACATATATTTGAAGAGGTCAACAATGTTCCGTTCGTTAATGAGGCAAATGTAATTTTGTATGTACGTCTCCACATGTGTAAAGTACTCCTCAAAATAGCTGTTGTACTTTTTCACTGCATTTTTTGTGTTCAAGTAATCTACTGGTATTAAATTATCCAAATGATGAGGGGTCCTCTTTAACAAAATGATACACAAACTTTTTAACACCTCTAGGATAGCATGTATGGTTAAATTTTCGTTTCTCAATCTGTTTAGAATTTTATTAATTTTTATTTTTTCATTTTCTGATTTTTGCGCTATGTCCAGATAGTCGTGCAATTTGTTAATGTACAAATTTGGGTTTCCATTTCCGTGTGTGTGTGTACTTCCTGATTGGTCGCTGCGGGGGCTCGGCCACTGACTCTTGCTGCCACTTGGGGGACCACCCTCGCTGATACTTTGCAATAGGCTTGGTAAAATTTTGCTATTGTAACGCTGTCCTTGGTTGTGTGTGTGCAGATTTGTGTAGTTGGCCGTGCTATCTTCCCATCGGCCATCCCTTTTCCCCTTTGCGTTAGAAGTACTAACACGTGTGTTGTCTTTACTTATTTTGCTACTTGTGAGGTACACCTTGCTATCTTTGTGCCTATTGCGCGCGCTACTCGTTTCCAATGTCCCTTCGCCATTTCCTTGCAGACGCCTCGTTTCAGTGTCAATCCGTTTTAGTCTCTTCAGCTGGCGAAAAATGGTTAACTCCCGCTCAATTTTGAGGAGCACATTCCTGGGCGGTATCATACTACTTTGGGGGACATGGACACAAAGGGCGGTGGCTATTTTGGAGAATTCTCTAATCAAGGGGAGAGGGACTATTCGGGTGAGATGTTGAACAGGGTCACAGTTTATCGCTCTGGGAAACACCTACTTGTGGATGCAATTTAGTAGAGGGCCAGCTCGACCAAGGGGATCATTCAAAATGGGGACAAAACAAAAAAACAAAAGAAAGGGGAACCCTATATGATGCCAAGCTGTGCGCTAAATTACGTAGGCTTAAAAAAAAAAAAAAAAAAGAGTTCGTTTCGTTGTTCTCTCTAAGAGACTTCAATGGACCCACGATCCCACTTTCCATGGGGAAACATGATTAAGGGGGGGATGTGCCTCCACTGTACTGGAAGTGTATCTGGAACGCAGTACAAGAGTTACACAATTGCGACATTTCAGTAGAAATACACCCATCACACGTAGGGTAAAACCAAACACCCTATCTTACCATGTATGCGCGAAAAAAAGGATGCGAGCAACTGTTCACGAAGCTTACGCGGCTAAGTTTGTACAATGTAGAGTATTCAGGCGTGCATGCGACTTGCACAAATGGAAACAAAAACAACCCCCAAAAGAATTAATGAACACATGAGCTAAAGAAAAAAAAAAAAAAAAAAAAAATGAATAAACGGGCCCGTGCTTTGTTGATAAGCACATTGCGTAAAAGTTCCACGGAGAAAAATTTACTGCAGAAAAATTCACGCTGTGATGAAGGGTGCAAAATGTCGATTTCTTTTCGCATTATCTAAGAGTTATTGCCCTGGATGCAAAAATTCAAAGCAAATTTTGAGGGGCTAAATTGAGTGCTCAAATTGAGGGGTAAAATTTAGTAGCACTATTTATTAGAAGCATAATTTTGGATCATTTTTTCCATCAATTTCTTCCGCCGCTGTTTCTCCCTATGCAAAAAGGCATAGGCCGTGTATCGCTGATATACATGTGTATGTATTGCCAATTTTCGGTGACATCTCTCGTCCTGCTTTTTAACGTAGGAATCTGCATATGGCTAGTTCCAAAGGGGAATTGCTAGTGAAGTGTTCCTTTCACTCGTTCAGGTGGGGCCTCCTTCTGTAGCGCAGGGTTATTGTGCAACTCCCCCGTATAGGTTGCTTCCCCTCCTACAGCTTGCTTCTGCACGTGTACGTCCTATCCCCCCGGGCACGCGTATAGACGCCCCAAAGGATGAGCTCCAAGATTTGGAAAGCCATTCTAAAGGATGACGTGGCCAAATTCAAGAACAGCATAGAAAGCGAAGGAGATGTGAACCTAAACTCGTACAACACGGATGGATTAACGCTCCTACTGTTTGGTATAGAAAATGGGTGCGCTGAATGTTGCTACTACCTTATCAATGAGCGTAGTGTGAATATTTTTTTAAAAGATAAAAAGGAGAAGGACAATGCCTTGATGAAGTGTATGATGCTGGGACATGACATGATAAACGTGAGTAGATTATTAATTGACAAAAAAATTGACGTTAACGAAAAAAACAAAAACGGAAAAACGAGCCTGCATATAGCTAGTGAGTATAACTACGTAAAAGGCATAGAATTGTTGATAAAAAATCATGCCCAGATTAATGCCCTAGATAATGCAAGTAATACACCCCTAATGTGCTCAATTAAGAGGAGCAAAGAAGAAGCAGCCATTCTACTCATCGAAAAAGGTGCAGATGTGAATATAAAAGACGAGGACATGAATTCTGTTCTGCATATTTGTGCGAGAGAGCACTTAGGAAATATAGCCCAGAGTATTCTACTCACACAAAAGGTAGACATAAAAAATTGTCTCGACAGTGAAAATAATTCCCCCCTACATATAGCGGCAAAGGAAAACCAAAAAGGTCTATGCGACCTGTTTTTGAAGAACAAATTTGATGGCTGCTTAAAAAACAAAAACAATGAAACGTATGATGATATTTTAAAAAAACATGAAGAAAATGATATTTTGAAAGAAGAAGAAAAGAAAAAAAATTACCAGGAGAAAGAAATTCGGAAGAGAAAGAACTACGAGGAAGCAATGCAAAAAACGGATGTCTCCCAATTTCTCAAGATGCATAACTTAAAATCCCTGATTCCACATTTTTACAAACACAATTATGTGTACGTCGATCAGGCTTTCCTAGATGTCAATGATTCTACATTGAAGAAGATGAGCCTGAGTAAGGAAGAGCGCCAACTGTTCTATGAGGCTGTCGATAAGTATTACTCTCAGTTAGAGCACGAGGAGAACGAACAAGAGTTGGCTAATCGGCAACTGCAGGAGGAGCAGCAGAGGACGAAGCGTCTGAAGTTCGTTTCTTACGTGGTGTCCTTAATATTTACCGCAATATTTATTTATAGCCTCGTCATATCCCTCCTCAAGCGGGGACATATGTTCTTTTGAGTGCGAATGGGGGTGTGTACATGAGGGGACGCAGCACAACGTGAAATAGAAACGGAATGAGCCGAAGTGGAATAAGCACAAGCAGAAACGCGTGATGACAAAGCTCACCTGTATGGTCTCACCACGGAGTGGGTACATAGCAACCATCACGTGTGCAATTCTATCTCCAAGAAATATTGCCCATTTGTAATTGCCTTAAACGTAGGGTTACTACACTGCTTAACCGTTGACATGGAGCATGTGCACATTTTGTGAAGTACTCCATTTTGCGAAGATGTGTTTACTTCCCCATTCGTGCCATCTTCACTTTGAATTGCATCCCATCCTGTGTTTGTTGCTTTTTTTTTTTTTTTTTTTTTTTGTTCCATTTTTTTGGTTCCTTTGTTCTAATATGCCCATTTTCCCTTTTTCGACTTAATTCCGTGGCGCGCTCCGGTTCCACTTTGCCACAATGCGTTCCAATTTCTTCCTACCGGGTGTGCATTTTTGAGGAAATGAACAACACCTAGCGAGAGTCCTTAAACACGTTGCTTCATACGTTGGCATGAAACATGATGTACTCGATCTGTGCAGCATCATAGGATAAAGAGGGTGTGAAAATTATTTGGTAAAATGGAAAACATGAAGGTGAAAGATTAATGCGGTTAATATGGACAACTTGTTGGGTCCCCTGCATGGCGAACTTTCGATTTATTACATTTTTGTTTCGCCGGATGTCCTTTGCCATGGTGTGGGCTATGTTCTACAACATGGTAGTAAAGCAGGGGAGTGAGAGAAGCGACACAGCAGGAACAAGACCAAATCAACATGAAACATAATGTAAGGGGCATTCCCCATAGGCCGCATAAATAGTAATACCTGTGAGTATTCTACACTGCGTTTTAAGTTGGCTGCCCCACATGCGAAAAGAGTGGCACTACATTGAGAACATCCGCGGGGTCTCCTGCACACTTGAAAGAAGCTATCCTGGTAGCATTTTTAAAAAAAGGGAACAAGCGATTTCGTGATTGTGCGTTACAGGGAGATGTATGTGGTATGCAGTATGTGCCACGTATGTAACACTAGGTATGTTTGTTTTTTTTTTTTTTTTTTTTTTTTTTTTTTCAAAATAAAAGGAAATGGTGCCTCTCACTTTTGCGCAAATGCACAGAGGCTGCATTTCTTTTTCGCTAATTTACACGGGGATCAAATTCACTGTTCATTACAGGTACATAAGTGTACGAATAAAGTGCAGCACTGATGCAGCCATATAGATTCGTTTCCATTTCTGCATTCCCCTTTTGAGCAGCAAATAGGGGAATATACCTCTTTGTGTTTATTTTGTTGCAATGCATATGAAATGCAAAGGGAGGAACCCTAAACCATGCACTCCAGCATGTAAAGTCACTTCCACATTTGTGCTAACTTTTCTGTTGGCACAAGAATGTGCGCCCGGTCGCAAGAGCGTAGGGAGGCGTAGTTCTCGGCGAACCTAGCAGCACGCTGAGAAGGCTTTCTGCCCCTGGTTTGTTCACACAAATGTATTTATGCAAACGCATATGTATACTTATTATATACCTGCATTTGCGCCTGCCCCTTCTCATTGAGACTTCCCAATCAGGCAGTCCACCAACACATAAGTGTATCCATACCAACCGGAAACAGAAGAAGACATAGAAAAGAACAACTTTGTATGAACTAGGAAAAAGGTCCGTCAGTGAGTTTTGAAGCCAATTGTTTTTGGAGATCAGCCCAAAAATATTGCTCTGTTTTTGTAGCGGACACATGGCCACATGTGCTTGAAGGACCCAATTTGCCACACGTTCTCCCCCCCCCCTTTGTTGCCATATTTCCGCTGATTAAAAGATGACCGCAGAGGGAGATCAGCAGCACGTGGATGGGGATAAAATGATGAGGCACCTTAACGAGTTAAAAAGAAGCTACCACATTATGACAAAGGAATATGAAAGCATGACTAACATCAGTGTGCAACACAATGTAGCAAACATCAGGATAATAAAAAATTTGTTTATTTTAAATACCCTCATCCATCAAGTCAATAAAAAGCATTTAATGAATGCCTTTGAAAATGTAGATAATACATTAATTTTCATTTTAAAAAAAAATAACACCAATTTTGTCTTAAAATTGGTAGCCATATTTTACCTAAATTTGTGCACCTACACAAACTATAATATTAGGGAACTGTATGGCAGGTTATTTGAAATGACCCTGAACAAATCGGTGGTTAATCCCCCAAGTGAATTAAAAAGGTTGCATGAGCACTTTTTAAAAAATACACTTCTTTTCACATCCCTAATTTTGGAACATGTACATGCTCGTATAGCCCCACACATTTCTTCCCTGATTGAGTACTCAAGTAATGATCACCACGAGGGGGACTTTTTTGCCATACGGTGCATTGCGGATGCGGAGGCTCCATTGAAGCGCGGCATAGTCGAATGGGTGCATGCCACCCCGCGGCGCCAATAAGGCAAAAACACACTGCAACGCATTTAGTATGCCACTGGGTAACATATTTATCTTGCCAATATTCACCCATTTACACCACGCTGCCTTTCCCCCTCCCCCGCCCCCCTCAGGAAAAATAAAAAACTCGGATACCCCAGAATCCAAGTACTTCTACCTCGAGTGCGTAAATAAATTAATAAGAACAGGGGAATTGACCCCCCCCGACAGTGAAAAGATCTACAAATTTTTGAAAAGACAATTTAATGAAAAGGATGAATTAATTAAATACAGAATTATTAAGTGCCTGACGTCCATATTTATTGTACACCCTGAGTACTCCCTCCTGGACTTTGATTTTTTTGTAAATTGCCTTATTGACGATAGTTACCTCAGTACGTATGTCGGTCTGGTGAACCTCAGGCACATCATAAAACTTCTCACAGTCATGCTTTGCAATTGCGCCAATGTGAGGTATAACCGAAGCATCGACCACAATGCAGGTAAAAGTAACTCCGGAGATGGCGCAGATGGGATGGAGTCATTTGGGAGTGTCACTGCTGCGGAGAGGGAAGATTACGAGGAAGAAGAAGTTGACGAAGAAGAAGAACATAGGGAAAAGGAAAAAGTATATGAGGTAAACAATGAAGATAAAGTAAGTTACGCTCATGACAAAGCAAAAGGGAGGAACAGCAAAAGCAGCAAAACGACAACCGATGAAGACAAGAAAAAAAAAGGTTTTTTCTCCGACTTTCTAAAAATCGCAACAGACGAAATAGTGTCTAAAATTAGCAAAATAAAGTTAGATGAAAAAGAAGGAGGCAAAAATTACATTAAGGTAGATCATTTTGATGGATTTTTATTTCTCATTGATAACCACTTTAATAAAAGAATTTTGAGAAATAAAAAGAGCGTGTTATATGTGTACGACTGCGCTTCCTTTATGGTTTTCTTTAAGAGGACCGTGTTGAACATGTTTAGTGATTTTCATCACGATTACACGCAATTGAAGAAGCTCCACTTTTTGAGGAAGTTGGAGAAATACACTTACTACGCAGATGTGCTACACCATTTTGGAACGAATGTGTACACCCCTGGGGGAGGTGGAGGCAAAGTGTACGAATTTTTTAGAAGGCAGAAGAAGGGGTCCAGAATGAGAGCGGCGTCGTCGGTGTCTGCATATGCATCTGCGTCTGTGGCTTCTGGAGGAGAAGCAAGCGACAGCGATTCGTGTATCAATTACCTCTTCGAGCATGACTACAAATTGATGAAAAAAAAGGAACGACGGCGTTACGATGATTCACACATATCAATTGAGGAAAAAAAGATCTTGAAAACTTATTGCTCCCTGATAAGTAGTACCCTGTTAAGAACCATTTTCTTCCAGTCCTTTAAAAACTTACTCTCATTTTCGAAGAAATTTTCTGGAAAGTCAATTATAAAAATTATCAAGCTGTTTCTGCACCTGTTGGATGTGACATGCACGAATTGCGCCAAAAAGAAAAATGTAAAGAACCCGCTCCACACGAACAATATAGCAAATAGTTTTGAAATAAATTTCCTCCTCTTCTACTTCACCGACATTGTACAAGAGTTGGTCAGGAAGAGGAAAACAGACACCTATACCATTGTTAAGGAGAAGGAATACAAGGCGAGGGAGAGGGAAAAATGCAAAATGGACGACACTAACGAATACGATGATCGCGAAGAAAGGAAGCGCGCTGTGCATGAGGAGGAAAGGGGAAAAAGGGAGAGCAGATCTTTATTTTGTGACAAAATGGACGACAACGGTAGGAGAGGTTCGGAAGGGAATACCAACCAGAGTGGTGAAGAGGGAAGTAAAGGCCTTGCACAGATTGGCCATACAAACTCGAGTGAAGCTGCACCAGGGAGTGACACGCACGGAGGGAAAGATGACTCAAGTTGGTACAATCCAAGGAGTAGCACCTCCAGTCAAAACGGGATGGACTCAGCAAATGGTAGTAAAGCGAAAAATGAGTTCACAGACATGAAGCGAAAAAATAAAAGGACACAAGAAAAAAAGACTGAAGAAGATAACAAAGTGAGGACTTATATACAAAATCAAGTAAAGAATTATTTAATAAAAAATAATGATACCAATATGGATGTGAATGAAAAAAAAAAATATAACATTCTCCTCAAAGGGTTGATAATTTTGTACAATAAAGCCATACTAAATAATAGTAGCATAAAAAAGGACAAGTATGATAAGTATGAGAGCTTTCTGAAAATGATCCTAAATAACATGAACGGTGTTCACATTGATATAGATCTACTTAGACATATCATACATTTATTTGTGAAGGTATTTTTAAAATTCCCCCAGTACACATATAATTTAATAACCCTACTGGTGAACTACATTACGATCATTAACGCCAATTTTATGACCTCCTTAACGCTAAACACCTTTGACGATATAGAAAAACAAGTGAGCATATTAATTATCAGCTCCATTTCGTTAGAGAAAATTTTGTACTCCTCCTCCAGGTTTTACAGATTGTACCATTTGAACAATTTAATTCTATGCGTTTTTGATATATGCAAGTTATTTTTGTCCAAGGTGCAGACACACCCTTTGAAGACCATCAATGAGCTGAGGAAAATAATTTCGTTCTCGCTTATTCATGCCATCACGTCGGTGGTTGTGTATGAGGAGGTGCGGAACAGGCGCAGCGTCAAGAGTGGTGAGCAGAGTGGACGCGATGGTCGCCTGGGAAGAAGCGACCATGGCGTAGAGGAGCATGCGGGGGAACGCATCTCCGAAAAGGAACCCTTCGAAATCACGACCCTCGAAAGAATGCAGAAGCATTTCGCGAAACAAGAGCCACTCTACGACAATGTCCTCTTTAAACTTCTGATGGATATTCTACGCGAAATGCTCAACGAAATTGAAGAGGAAAAAATGCAGCGCTTTATCAGTTCCTATGAAGAACAAATTAAAAAAAAAAAAATGAACTCAACAAATTTTTTTATCGTGGATAATTTATTCATCCTAGTGTACATGTTAAAAAGTGTAAACACTATTCTAGCATCAGATATTCTGACCTTTTTCTTTTTTGATCATATTTACAAAATTGTGCAGACCCTGTTCGAGTTCTTGTGCCAAATATATCAAGCAAAGAAAGACCATTACCATAAGGGCTGCGAGAATTACGAAGCACAGGTCACCACGATAACCCCCGCGATAAAAGGCAAAGACAAAACCATCAACACTGGAAGTTATCCCAAAACAGAGGGAAAAAAATCCTTCCACTTCTTCGAATATGGATTTACTCAAATGTGCCGATTGATAAACATTGAAAATGTGTTTTTGATTTTCCTGATTTATATGCTGAAGAATTATTGCCGCGTCTTCAAATTTGTGCAGCAGAAACTGGGAAAGGGAGAGAAAAGTGGAGGATGTTCAGAGCACGCTTCGCTTGGAAAAAACGGAACGAAGATGTATGTCGAATCTGTCGAGGAGCGATCCCCTTGTGAAGGAAACAGCAACAGTGCCACTACAATAGGTGTGACGGGGGAGGTTACTACCACCACTGCTAATTCCACCATTGTGACTGTCCCCCCGAAGCAACCATTTGCCCCCATATGGGATTCGCTGATCCAAGCCAAGTCCCGAGAGGGAGCGCCCTTTAACGTCTTCCTGGAGTTGCTGATCTACTTGGTGAAAAATAAAGACAAGGACAATTTTAACAACGCAGTTATTAACATCCTGCAGAGAAGAGATGCAATCCGCAGGGACAAGAGACAAAAAAGGAAGGAAACAACTACCGATGTTGAAAAAAGGAAAAGGGAACTGTTTGGGGAAGACCCAGAATTGGACATCTTAAACATAGTAACGAATAACTACGAAGCCTATTACGAATTAGTGTTAATCCATTTCGTACAACTGTTCGAACAGTATATAGAAAAAAAAAAATATTTCAACGTCATCATAAAAAATATTTACAGGTGTATCCTAAATGTGGACTTAAATAAAAACGAGCTAATAATTTATTTGCTAATTTTGGATAACTTTTTAAAAGCTAAATTTTTTAACAAAAAAAAAGGAAAAATATTCAAATGTATGTTGCCCATATTTAATGTACTAAATAACCATTTTGTTAATCAGAATAGTGGACTTTTAAATACCCTTTTGATAAAAAACTTGACTCATTTTATTTGTCACGATGAAAATATAGACTCCTACATCTTCAGTTATGTCACGAAATTTTACCAGGCATACTCCAGACAGATCCTTCAGGAAAAATATTTGTGTATTGCTTTTTCCATCATTCTAAAAAGTGTTATTTTGTCTTATATTAAAATTGAAGATAATAATTCATGTGTAACGAAGAATGTAATTACTACGACGGAAGAAAAGAAAATGCCCAACCTCGGGGGGACATTGCCCTCTAGTAATTTAAGTGTCGGCTCTTTGTGTAGCAGCACCTTTTTGGATACTCCAAGTAGCACACGCAGTCGGAACCGTTTTATGTCTAAGGGGAGAGCTACAGAAAAATTCAATCCCAAGGAAGGCTTTTTCACTCTTGAAAACTTCCGGACGTTGGATTTATGCCAACCGCTCAGCTTTTTAGGACGACGGATGAGGAGACGCTCCTGTGGAGGAATTAAACTTAGAGAATTTGACAAGCGCGCAAAAACAGGTAAATCGGACAACCCCACAAAAAAGGGTAAATTGGGTAAATGTTCCAGCAGTGGCATGCAAAGTTTTGCACAGGGAAAGATAAATAGCCCCCACAAACTAGCGTATGCTAAACTGTTTAGTCAAGAAAATGGAAAGGTCGTAGAATTCTTCGATACTTACCTGAACATGCTGAAGGTAATTCCACACGATAACAAAGTGTTCTCGCTGGTTTTGAGAAACTTCAACGTGGTGATACGAAAAATGCACACGCGTGTAAACCTGTGCAGGATTAAGGACTGTCTGGATGTCGTGCTGGCCTATATACTCAAGGCGCAGAACGCGAACACGTACCGCTTCGAACATGAGCGCGGGGGATGTGTCATAGGGATGTTTAACCACCTGTTGAAAATTCTGCAGAGAGGGGGTATGCGAAGCGGCAGCAAAGGTGGCACCCAGACGCGGGTCAAAAGGGACCACATGCTATCCATTTGTAAGAAACATTCCACGGAGAAGCTGTCCGCCTCCCAGAGACAAACGTACTTCGACGTGGAGAGCCAGGTGCTGGATATATTCGAAATTTTCCTAAACTGTTATGAAAAGAAAACGGACCGCCACCTGTTCACTACGATTAACATCATGTTCCGTTTGGTGAATAAAAAAAAGTTGAAACATTTTATGAACAAAATATCTATACTGATACAGAGGAACATATTTTTGGAAAGGGATATGAATAAAATTCAAGTTGCAATAAAGTGCGTGTGTAAATTGCTGAAGAAAAAGGTCCAAATTCCATTAAGCGACAATTTTGATTATCAGCTGTTGGTGATTTACAATCACCACAGTGAAGGAAAGATGGACAAGTGCTTCATAGACTTGCTCAAAATGAGGATACTGACGTATGGCTTTTATAATGTTAACCAGTGGACAAAATTGTTTGAAAGGATTTTAAATTCTAAAAATATGTTCCTATATGATCTCATAAAATATCGATCCAAGCGAAGGTACGCCAAGTATGAAAGCCATGATTGTAAAAAAAATTTGCCTGAACAGGATGCCAGGAAGGAAAATAACTTACTAACCAATGAGAAACAGCCAAATGAGGAACTGAAGAGCTGCTCGACCTTCCACACCTCATTGTTTAGCAAACATTTTGCCCACCATAGACACATAAATTTGAAGGAAGAAAATGAGCAAAAGGGGGGAAACAAGACCATGTACTTATTTAACGTTTTTAAATTAAGGCAAAGTGATTTCACCTTCTCATTTGAAACAAAATATTTGGTAATGAAATTGTTGTTATTATTTTTAAAAACTATTAGTCTTTCTCGCCTGGTGTGTGTGCACAACGACGCTTACTATGTGAGCTATGTCAAGAAGCGCCTGAAAAAAGGTACCCTAAGCGGGGGGGCGACAGTCAACGGCCAGAAAAAACCTACGGGCGGTAGGGTTCGTGATGGTGGAAACTTGAAGGAGTCTGCACGAGAAAGATACAGTAAGAATGGGTCCCCAGGTAGTAGCAGAAGAGGTAACAGCACGTGCACGCAAAGAAGTCACGAATGTGATAGTAGCTGTAGTGACCTCGGGTCAGCTCATGAAAATAGCTCATGGAAGAAAACGAACAAAACAACATATATGCTCCAACGTGATGAGTTATCCTTGAGGGAAAGGAACAGCAAGATGACGGACCAAATCAGTTACATCGAAGATGTGCTCATTCGTAAAAAGTGTGCCAAAGCGGAGACCGCAAAAGGGGAAGCTGCTACATTTAACAACATCGACATACAAAATATTGTGGACAATTTTTCCTTGTATGATAATTTCGAAGCAATGTTAAATATCATATTGCACAATATAAATCATGGAATCAGGTTTGAGAAGTTGTCCAGACTAGCCATAAAAGCTTTGATTCGATTATTAAAAATTTTTAAGAGCTCCAAAATAATTTTGGATGAATTTTCTAGTAACCATGAAATTATGCTGCTGACAAATTATGAAATTAATATTTTTACGTCTTTGAAGATGTACTATGAATCATTTCATTTTTTGTATTTTAGCTACTTAGATGGCCATCCTCCAGGGGGGGACAATCTCGAAGAGGCGGGAGATAAACCCAATGAGTATCTTCAATTTTCGCACCTTTTTCTGCATCCACTGATGAGGGTGTACAACTTATTTCTGTTCCTAAACGAAATTGGGTTGTGCAATTCCCACTCAAAATTTGTGGAATACTTTTTCTATTTTGCCATGAAGGGGAATCATGCCGTTACGGAAGAACTCGCAGCGGGTACCGAATATGCACGGGACAAATCCGACACGGTCACGGGGGATGTTTCCATCAGTGGACATGACGCTGCTCATGCGGATGCTCTCACGACACACATGGGGGGAAGGAAGAAAATTCCTACAATAAATTCGTCGCTCTTTTTCTCAGAATTCGACTCTTGTGTGTATTACCTCTTTTCATACAAATCATTGTGCCTCTACATAATAAATAACGAGAAGGCCCAAAGGAACCAAGGCATATTTAATATAAAAACAGTGGTAAAGAATATTAGCTACATTTTGTATGACACGATTGTTCTGTACTTTTGGTCATTTGGGAATAACGCAGGAGGAGACGATTTCCAGGATCAAGTGGTTCACAGATTTTTTACTTGCATGAACGAAAAGGCAAGAAGCTTGTCCATTTTTTATTTTAGTGCATTTGCAGTATTTTTGAAATTTTTAAACATCATAAGGAGGAGCAATGCCCTTGTCATAAATGCGAAGAATTGTACCCTCTTCAAAACATTAATATATTTTTTGTGTTACCATTTGAAAGAGCACAAGGACAAATTAAAAGAGGAAACGAAGGAGATATACTTTGTGTTCATTTTTGGGTACTTGAGTTTGACTGGATTTGTGTCAGATTTGTCTCACCACGTGATCAACCCTATATCTGAACAGGGAGATGTCACATCTAATGAGACGCAAATCTCCAATTCAGTAACCACTGAAGCGAAGGGGGAAAAATCTCATAGCATTGAGAACTCAAGCAAAGGTAAAGGCAGTGGAGACATGTCTACACCGTTGTCTGTGCCCAGTGAACCTGCACAGGGTTTTTACGACGAGCAACGGACCCCTTTTTTAGAAACCGTTGTGGATTACATTCTGAAGCATTTGTTAAACTTGGTGAACGAAAAGGTTTTACCAAGCGTACTCGAATTTGTCTCTACGGTCCATGAGAATTTCGCAAATGTGAAGAGTTCATGGGGGACCCACCAGAGAGTGTTGAGAAAAGTGTTCACGTTGCACTTATTCGTATTGGGTATGTTTTTGACAAACCGGCGTTTCGGCGATAGAAGGGGTGGTGCTGGCTTCAAACGTGGGTACGATTCAGAAATGCTAACTCGGCTGTGGAACTCCGTGCTTAGCTGCTACACCCTCCTGGAGAGGCTAGAAGGGGCGCAGCTGGAAGAGGGAAAAACCACAGATGTAGCAGAAGCGGTAGAAGCGGCAGAAGGGGGCGAAGCCAAACTGGCATACGAAATAAAAACCCTGCTGCAGGAGCTGTTCTTACAGAAAATGAACCTCCTGAAGGAAGAAAAGCTGAGCACCAGGCTGCTGAAATTGTTCTTTCACAACTGCAGCGAAAATGATCTGCGGAATTACCTAAGCCATATGAAAAGGTACAATCGGGAAATGACCAAAATGCTCAAGGATCAGGATTTGCCGCGCTTCAAATTATTTTACATAAAGGTTATCCTTTTTATACATTATATCAACACAACAGACATGATAAATGGAAGGAAAAAGGTGCATTACACAGAAGAAATATTGCACGTGTTTGTGACCGCCTCACGTACGATGAAAATGGTATACCAGGACATGGGCATGGAATTAAGGCGAGGAAATATAATCTCCAAAAAAAAAGAAGAAAAAAACGGGCACACAAAGAACCAAATTATACACTCCTTTTTAAATATCATAAAGAATATATTTACCCTTTTACTAAAGAGGGAAGATTCAGTCGTTTTGTACTTTACACACAATTTGATAAAGAACGACATGCTGCCCATTTTGTTAGTTAGGCATCCTACAGATAATGTGCACTACGAAGAATTGATACCAGCTAATTCGTACGAGGAAGATATTATTACGTACCCTGTCAAAATTTTAAACTCCTTTTTTGAAACTTTCATCAGTAGAGACGCACTCGTGAAGAAGATTCTCATTCCGTACATCACCTTTGTTCACCAACTTTGTCGTTTATGTGATGCCAACAGGATTGACATTAAAAAATGTTTCCTCACGCTCCAGGCAGATGGAGACAAAGCGATTAACCCGTTAAGTCTGGCAGACGGAAGTTCATTCCCACTGAACCATTTTCCGCACGCAGCAATGGTAGACAGAGGAAGTGGTACAATGACGATATATTTCAAAGAAGTAATAAACGTGTTTAGAAATGTCGCCTTTAAGAATGCCTCGTTTTTTAAGAATATTCTGGCGGACATTAGTGGGGAGGAGAAGGTCATGGTGTATAATCTGATCAAAGAGGCAATTGCTGTGGAGAAGCAGACGGAGCAACGGAGCAAGCAGGAGGAGGAAAAGCTGGACTTCAGCTTTGTAAATTAGGAAAACGCCTACGGATGTGAAGATGGATATATTAAAGCGCTGCGCAGTTTCGGGGAGTTTCTTATTGGGATATTTTTAGAGCCGAGGTAGATGCACCTTTTTCAAAGAAGTTTAGACTTTGCTGTGCCCTTCCATGCGCAAAGTGTTGGCGAAAATTGCGCACATCCGATCAGGTACCACATCAAGTGTACGGGAATTTTTGTCAGCTACGTGAAATTGACAGATGTAGCACGGACGTGGTGAAAAGTTGTAGGACATCATAATTTTATATGTTCATCAGCGCAAGAGAGCACCTATAAATTGAAAACGTTGCATTTGCGTTAGTACCGTATAGCTGACATCCTTGTAATTAACCTACAGCTAGATGAACATCAATGTGCATGTTACATCACAGAGGGTGGGCTAATCTTGTGTTCTGAAAAACGTGTGCATGGAGGAATAAGCTGCCATAGTATATTTATTCGTGTATAAGGATCACTACTCGGTTGCAACCCCTTGGGTAGATATGCCTACAATCAAAGCTTCCTTTTCACTCAAAAATAGTATTTGTCACCGCTGATGGGTCTTTCACATACGCGCAGTGCAAGCTACACATGACATAATTTTACCCTTTTTGAGCTTGCACAAGGATAACTTGTTCTCCATCTTTTTTTTTGTTTTTGTTTTTTTTTTTTTTTTCTATATTCCGTTTTGTATGCGTTTTCATGCTGCACAGTGTTTGACCACCTCTGAGTAAAAACGGAAACACGTCCAAGTGGATATTTTAGAATATGCAAAATGTTGTAGGTAGCAGGGGCGGGGAGGGTAAGCCCTTTGAGAGTCTCAAATGGGAAGTTACAGGTGGATGAAGAAAAAGAGATAAAGGACAACACATGGTTGATGATTTTTTTTTTTTTTTTTTTTCGGTAACTCAGTAGTCACATGCATGAAAAAGCGGGTCGTGATAAGCCTTATAATCAGCATGTTAAGCCTCGCTTATGTATGCAGCACCCTGAGGCCACTGTCTGCAGGTAAGCTGCTACCTTTGTTACGTGCCCTACCATTTAGTAGGCGAAAAAAAAAAAAAAAGGAAAGAAAAGAATTTTATTTTAATTGTTGCTCACGTCGAAATGGTAATCCCGGCAAAAAAGCATAGCGATGGTCATAGTCAGGATCATATTCGAGCGCGACGATTATCACCCATTTAGAATAGCTCCAAATTCTATCACCCCATTACATATTATCTGCTTTTTCGCGCAACACGAAAATGGAGCAACATTCGCACATCATCGGATTAGGCGACATTTTGTCAGATGCAAAAAAATGTTGGGTTCTTTTGGCTAGCAAGTCCCCAAGAAGGATAGAGTTAATGAAATTAATGGGCGTATCAAATTTATACGTTTGTGAATCAGGATTTGAGGAAAATTTAGATAAAAAACAGTTTGCTTCTGCTGAGCATTATGTTAAGGAAAATGCGTTACAAAAGGGGTTGAATGTAGCAAACCATGTCTGGTTTAGGGATCAAGCCAATACTAACAGCGATGGAAACTCTAAAGAAGCGGAACAAAAAACAAACACACAACAAGGGAGTAATTGTGGTGATTTATCAAAGGGCCAACCTGATAACGAACAACATTGTACAGATGCAACAAAAAAGCCTCAAGTGAAAAGTTTGCATAGCACCTATGACCCCATGCCAAATGCTATAATCTCATGCGACACGATCGTTACACTGAATGACGAAATAATAGAAAAACCTCTGAACAAGGAGCACGCCCTGGAAATTTTAAAAAAGTTATCATCTAATGTCCATTGCGTTTATACAGCTGTCTGTATATTTTTATACAAAACAAAAGTGCCCATCACCTTTATCGAAAAAACAGACGTACATTTTGACAACTTGCTTGAGAAAGATATTTTAGCATATTTAAATTCGAGTGAACCATATGATAAGGCTGGCGCTTATTCTATCCAAGGGGTCGGTTGTCAGTTTATAAAAAAAATTAATGGCTGTTATTACAACGTTATGGGGTTACCAATTAATAAACTGTCCAGAACGTTGACGCAGTTATTTGTGCAAGGAAAAATATCTGTTTCATAAGACGCGAAGAAAACAACACAATTGGCTTTCCTAAAGTATGTATTCTTCGGAGCGCACCCAACAAACGTATATATGGAAATAAGTATAATCACACATACAAGCGAGCGTGCCCCTGATTACTTCTAACACAGTTGTATAGATCACCTTTGCCTATTTGTGTCACGTACCACGTAGCTCCTAACGATAAATGTATGTTACAATCACCGAAAGACAAAAACACCAGATTGTTCTTTTTTTACACCAAATGTGCAACATGGAGGGCAGGAACAAAAAAAAATATATCTTCTAAAACGAAACATTCCCAGTTTGTGAATTTATCAATGTATGGAAAATCGAAAGGAGGCAAACTTCCCTAAAAAAAATATACCACAGAATGTATTCTTTTTTTTAGCTAGCGCCGCTGACGATAACACCTTTTTTAGGCAACACATACCACATGCACTGTTTTGCAGACAAGCACAAATGAAAAAAAAAAAGAAAAAAATTAACAACATTTCCACTTATAAATAAAAAGAATACAAGAGAACAAAATGCACGGAACTTAGGATTTATCTGGTTTTGTACAGTTCACGGGAAAATATAAATATTCCTTTGTGGGCAGCAAAAATCGTATCAACATGCGGGCAATTTGTTGCTTTTTTTTCTGGCGTGAAGGTATTCTCTTTATCTACAAAATTGAGTTTTATTATTTTATTTATTTTTTTAATTTTTTTTTTATTTTTCCCTCAATGCGTATGCCACTTTTTTTTCCTTATAGCGCGAAAAGACCTTGCGCGTCAAGTATGTACTTGCCCTGTTGTTAAAATAGAAGCATGCAACAAACATATGCACATGTATGTATGCTACATGTACGTTCGATGCAATGGATGTCTAAAGGTGTCCTTGGGTGGCGTTCTTCCCACTTTGCTGCTCTACTGTGAATAACAGAAGAGACATAAACATGTGCCTCACCGCTTTTTAATCCGTTTGTTCATTTGTTTATGTGTATATGCATTCTCGCAGGGTCCCCTGTGTCCATTTATGCTATAATCGGCACACATGTTGCGCTGACAATTCAGCGCTAGCTGCCGCCAGGAAAATGGACTAAACACGTGAATGGACTGATACATGTATTAGCGAACAAACCCCCCAATTGAAAAACGATTTGTCAACGGTAGGGAAACAGCGCAAAACAGGCGTTAGACCATTTGTCGCCTTTTAGGTGCCATTCCGACATCCAATTTTTTACAAAGTGTGTGTAGGTACAGCACAATTGCACAGGGCTATTTTGTTTTTTTTTTTCGCTCCGTTTCGCATAGTTCCTTTTTCATATTCTTTAATTGTCCCCTATATTACCTCTCGAAAGTGAATTCAGAAGAGACGCCAGTCTCCACACTGGCAAGAGTGCGAGCATGTGATAGGTGAAAAGAACGAGAGCGATATGCGTCTGGTATTTATGCACGTGTAGGGTAAACGTATAATCTAAGGCGAACAACAAACAAAAACAATATTTATATATAGACCGAACGGAGGCATCAAAATGGGCATGTTCAAAAGCACATTTTCCTCATTGAACAAGAAAACGAGGAAGCAATCGAGTGGAAACAAGCACACGGGGCACCATTCCGATAGTGCCTTCAAATCCCTGGAGGATTACATAACAGATGACGCGCCATTTGACACGAAGAGAGCTGTAGAGGGTGAGTCAAAAGGTGCCTTACAAAATGGCACCAATGGGGGTTCCAAATGCACCGTACTGAAAGGTAAGGGGCTGAATGAAAAAACAGCTAGTGAGAGAATAACCAGCGCAAAGTTGCAGAACAGAAAGCACGTAGCCAAGAAGGCGAGAATAAAAAGGGGAAACTTAAATCGAATAATACGCAATACCATCTGTCTATTGAAGGGGCGAAATATAAGGAGATTAATATTTAAAGAAAAACCTGACATAGACCCGGAAAATATGTTAAACATTAAATTCGTCCTAAATAATAAGCCAACCAATAGTCCCACCGAGACTGTGGTAAATCATACAAAGAGCATTCAAGGCAGCAAACCTGCAGAAAGTAAAAAACAGGTTGTCACTAAGAATGCCAAAGTAATTCCATTGAACAAATCTGCCCAAGCTGTAAACGATAAGCCCGTAAGTGAACAAATTGAATTGAAGGAAAAGACTACCGAGTATAAGTCGCAAAAGAGTGAATCGTCCTTACCATGCAGTGAGCCATTCGAAGAGTGCTACAAGGTGGAACTAAATAAATGCCAAGTTCCTCGGTTGCAGGAATTATTTGGGCAAATGAGGAAAGGGAGTGACTCCTCGCAGATGGATGACGAGGCTACCCTCGGCAACGACGGTAAAGTCGTCCGCAGGTGCAACCTTTTGGAGGATAGCACTCATAGTAGTAGCGGTGGAAGCGATGGTAACGGCGAAAGCATGGAAAGCGGTGAAAACTGTAACACCCGTGGTAGGTGTGCCCCGTTAGACGAAGAACTCAAGGAAACCGACCACCTACGACACAAAACCAACATGTTTAATAACCTACTAGAAAGTGTGAAGCCTTGTAGAAGCTACAGCATAGATGTGAGCCACCCATTATACAACTTCTTGTGCAAAAATGAGGACTCCTTCTTAAGTTCCAACTGGCATGATCGCATCAATTACGCATTCCGAAACATATGGGCCTTAAAGGAGTATATGCATGATGACAAAAGTGAGGGTGAAAGAGAAAAGGAGTTTTATAATGAGCTAGAATTATTTCACATGTCGAGCAAGATAGGGGCATGTGGATTAATATACTCTCTATTTTTTAACAAAGAAGAATCGGAGAATAAGTCAATAAATTATTTTAAAAAATGTTTTGTCCAATTGTCCAAGGAGAACTATCCTCACATTTACAAAATATACAAACCCAAATTTGATGACGATTTAGTTTTCCTATTTGACAGTCTCGTCTTTACGGTCATTTTAGGCAGCAAAAAAAATGACATCAATTATAACATGGCTAGAAAAATATACAGCAATGATATTAAGGGGAAAAACGTGTTATGTGATTGTATATTTAGTCTGAAAAATGGTTCTAAGTTTTCCTTGCCTGTCGCTAGCCAAATTGACTTCATGGGGATGCGCGTCATTTCTGAACCATTAATGCCTTTAAGTGAGGCCTACCCCCCTGTAGATGTGATTAAGGATATATTTAGAGGGTTAACATTTAGCAATTACATGAGTGATGGTGGTGTCCACGACTGCGCCAATGGGAATGATTATCTCCTTAAAGGTAAGCAGACAATGAAAAAAACGGCCCAAATTAAACGTAATAATTTACCCAAAGAGGACAAATACCTAAAGAAGGAAAAGGAAAAGGTGTTCTATGAAAAGTTACTGTTGGAGATAGAAAACTATGACCACGAGCTGTACCAGCAGATAAAGCAAATGAGCGATTCTATGAATTACCACTGCTGTATACTCCCCTTTGGATGCTCTAACTACTACGAATGTAAAGTATTTAAGAGGAGGAACAATGTAAAAATTTTCAAATCACTAATTGACAATCTGTTCATTGTAAGGGGGGGAGAAGAGGTACTCCCCCCATATGTAGACAACTCAACTGGAGGTAAATTTACCAAAAGGATAAGATACGAATTCATAAGAAATTACTATGAGCATTCATTATGTAATACTACCTTAGCCATTGACATTAAGAATTATAAATTTAAAAAGTATAAAAATAATATCGACCTTTTGAAGGACGCTAGTAAGGAATGCCTCCACAACATTGACAATTATATTTTACCCAAGGTTTTAAACATCATCTCAAATTTTAGCGACAGTTTTGACATCACACAGATTTATCACTCTCACGGGGTTAACATGTATCACCTGGGATACGTACTAAGCACTGATAGGGACACTGCACCTCCCGAGTTCCTGTCCAGGCTTATCTGCAGAGAAATTATTTGCCGTACGCTTAAGTCCATATATTATGAGCACATACATTCGTTCCTTTTAGCAGTACTTGGGAGAAGCAGAAAAGTTACCAGCGGAAAATGTAAAAGGGGCAATCACCGCTCTTCTGATAATGTTTATCCTGTGTCCCCTTTCATTAATGAGCAGAATGTCTACCATTATGACTGTGCCAATGGTAGCAGTAGGCACAGGATAAATGATCAGTGTAGGGAAGGGACAACCCAAGGATGCAACAAATTTATCTGCTTCTGCGAAAAATGTTTCACGGAGTGGGATTATTTTCCTGAGCTTGTGCCACATAAACTTTTAATTCGGTTGGTAAACTTAACCCTAAATATTAGGACATTAGATTCACTGCAGTTCTGGCACCAGGTGTTAATTCCAGAGTGCATGAAGAAATTTAAAATCAACTTAAACGATCATATTAACATTAAGGAGACCGAGGTATACGGACTCCTCGTCTGCATCGAGTATCACTTGGGCGTCTACTTTAACAAGGGATGCAAGCGAAGTTATAAAGTCAGGCTGCCTCTAACCTTGGACGATATGTCTGCCTTTGGCGCAAAGAAGGACAGCGTTCTATTTCCGAACGTTGCCCACCTGAGGGAAGTCTGCAACTGGGGAGGAGCATCGGAGATCGGAGAAGCGATTGGAGAAGCAAGCGAAGCGGCTAGTGCAATGTCCAGCGATCACTATCATGAGGCACCAAACGCTGCACATCCATATGGGTATATGCGCGAAACAGCCGAAAGTGACACCCGTGCGAGGAGGAGACACGCTTACAAGTCCCCCTACAGGAGTGCAACCGCAGTTGCACAAAAGAGAGCACACAGGAGTTACAAGACTTCAGGGTGTAGTGTAAGTGAAGACTCGAAAAGCAGACCTATGTGGGAGAAAAGAGAAGTCACAAGCAATTATGATGATGATAGTTATGTCCTCTCCAATGGTAGCATCCAAGATAGACACCAAAACGTGTACTCCCTAGTTGACAAAATACGCAAAAAAAACTGGTTATCCTTGCGCAGAAGTAAACATGCTGGAGAAAAACATGAGAGGGAGCTTACACCTAGCACTAGCGTGGATGATAATCGCATAAGGGAGGATCTCTCGAGCAGACAGCACCAGTGTAGTAATTTCCAAAGGAGTAACATCGCTCTGTTTTATCCCAAGACAAAGGGATGCTTTCCAAAGTATTCCACATGGAGTTTCAAAACGGTGGAAAAGCTAATATCATCAAGCATTATGGTGCAGGAAAAATTTAAAGTAAAAAATATGCTAAAGGAAAACATTGTCAACATAATACACCCAAAACATAGCGACCTTTTACTGATGAGCAATATATGCACTCTCGGCTCATTAAACAAAATCAAAAGTTTTGTACATGAGTATAATATTCCTTGCCACCCGTACTGCATACTGAATGAAAAAATGAAATGTATGAATTATGTTAGGGCCAAGAAATGCATTTATCTCCTTCTAAATGTTAGTCTAAATAAAAACATTTTCGAGTTATCCAAACAGTTTTTATTTCTGGCCTATCTGCATTTGGAGCATGGCTATGTGAAAAAGTGCTTAGACGTTTGCTACTACATTTATGAGGTTATTCCAAACATAGGAACTATAAAGAGGGACATACTCATTCTAATCCTTCAGTGCAAAGTGAAGGAGGGGACTATAGATGATGCGCTGATAATTTACAAGCTCATCATCCTTTTTAACAAATTTTTTGAGGGCCATGGTAACAGCGTCCTCACGCTTATTTGCAACGTGCTAATGGCTAGCTATTACTATGATAGGGCAAATGGGTTCAGTGGAAAAAGTACCAGTGGTAGGGGCATCTGTGACAAAGGATGGGAGGATTACCTCGATATCATGCCCAGTACAGAGTGCAGAAATTACAACCCTGGTGAAGCTACCACAAATAAAGAATCCGCAGACAATATGTTGTTGTTAGACCAAGTGGACCATTTCGAGTTAAAGAAAAAGTATTTACTAAAAGCTCTGCACTACTCGGAAGAATGCTATAGAGTCATTTCGACAACACTATGTGATATCTCGACGCACTATGTGTGCATATTTGCACTGATGCTACAAGGGAATATTTTAATGGGACTACAAAAATTTCAGAGCGCGATAAAGTACTACACGATGTCGCTACAAAATTGTGAACGAGCAAAACTGCCCAACTTTGTGACATTACAAAATAAATGCCTACTAGCGGACTCTTTGAAAAATAACGGCAATTATGATAAAGCCATCGAAATAGCAGAAGAGTGCCTAAAGGCATTAAGCAGCAGCACTCAGTCTTCACGCAGTCTAACGCTGTATGTAATTTTTCGGCTAGCTGAGATGAAGCAGTACATAGGATGTAAAGATTTAATTTGTCCAAATATCTTCCTAGACAATATTCCAAATGCTCACATTAAAAAAAAAATTACTACTTCAGATTTTCTGATTTTTGAAAAAAACTACTTAAATGAAAAGAACAAAAAGTATAGAAAGGAAGCAATTGACTTGTACATAAAATTATACGACAAGTTAAGAACCCAGAAGAACTACAACCTTGTTTTTGCTAAAGACATTTTCGGGTGCTACTACACCAAGGGTGATTTGTTATCCTACCAGGATGTGAAAACAGATATGCATGAAGATGATATGGAGAAAATATTACTAGTCATACGAGAGATTCTGAAAATAAAAGTAATTTCTTTAAGCATGAAGAAGCAGTTCATGTTGGCCTCTAAACTGTTGGGTATTGTGTTAACCAAGAATTCTTCCCCTTTTGTAAGAGAATTGACGTTGCAAAAAAGGGGGGCAAAAAAGAAAGGGTACGAAAATAACCTCCCATATGATAAGTTTTATCCTGATGAGTGCACCTCCACCGGGGTACAGCCCAGCGTGACAAAAAGGGAAGATCATTTGGGTAGAATGTCGTATAACCCTAACAATGACCAAGTGTATATAACCGACGTGCTTAGTGATGTTCACTCAAATGGACAGCAAAAATATACCAGAAAAACTTTACATTTCCAACTCGATGATTTTCATCAAAGTAGGCAAAGCAATTTTTTCCACAGAAGTTGTTACACACGAGAATATGACTACATATCTATAGAGAAGCTCCTTCTCGATGACACTTATTTTGTTATAGAAGAGATATGCAAATGCTGCTATTCCAAATGTGAGACTTATAATAATATGCAGAAGGTTGGGGTAGAAACCAATTCGACTTACTTGCTAAACCCTAGCATATGGTTTGATTTACTTTTCTATTCCGTCATGAAAGGCACTTGTAGTCATACCGAACTGCTCATCCTCATCGATTTGGTTAAGTTTTTCCTAACACCTTTGCAAAAGCAGCTAATTTTATTTCGTGTCAAATCGATAAGCAACATTAAAGGAAATGAGCAGTACTCCGAGTATATACAGCACTTGCTAAATAATGAAGGGAAGGAAATTTTGCGCATTATGGATATGCTGGATAGGGAAAAAAATTCAGGCTATTTGTGTGTAGGTGCATACCCCGAACTTTCCAATTTGCACAAAAAGGATGTGGTAAAAAACGTCGATTATTTGTCTAACATAATTGTGACCAATCCCTGGCTTATGTCGTCTTCGAATACATTTCACAGTGCCAGGTGACAATCGCCACTTGTGAGATTCAGTATCCACATTTTTACCTTTCTAAAGGGGAGAATGGGCACGGAGGAGAAATATTCACCTGTACGGGTGGGGAAAAAAAAAAAAAAAAATTTTCACATTTGTTTTTTGCAAAAGTTTAGTGATAATTGGGAAGAGGCGCCTTTTCAACGTTTCTGCCCAGAGCCTTGTATTTTATTTATTATTATTATTTTTTTTTTTTGTCTGCCCTTGTGTGTTTACACGTGTGTAGTTGCTGTTTTGTTCCTATTCGCACGTATGTGCTTTTTTTATTTTTTTTTAGTTTTTCCCCCGTAATGGAAAACGTTGACTAAGTTGTGTCATATAGCCAAGAGGCATAAATTGCGCTCTGTTCTTAAAAAACGAGTGAACTTCTCCAAATGCAATTCTTTTACATTTGGGGCCATTTCCCCATGGGGGCTAAACAGTGAACCATATTCTGCTTTTTTAAGTTTCCCTTTTAAATTGTTCCTTGCGCAAAGGTGCGGCATTTTTTGTTTTTTTTGTTTTTTTGAATGCAAAAATGTGCACACATAATAGAGGAAAGAAGCTCGGTTAATTCTGCCTCAAAATGCGTTTCAACTGAGCGTTTTAAGATATTCCTTTTTTGGCCACTCAGTAGTGCGTTTTTTTGGTGGACGCATGGTATATTGCTGATTGGTTACCCCTTGGCATGCTCGCTATGTTATTGGAGAATTGGGGAGACAAGAAAGTGAGATAGGGCCCTACATTAGATGCTCGCCAGTGGCAAGCAGCAAAATCGTAGCAAAGGTGAAGTTGCTTTTATTTATTTATTTTTTTTTTCTGATCTCCTCGTCATGATACGCGAGCTTCTTCTAAATGCCTCGGGATGGCAAGCCGAGCAACAGCTGCCAGAATATAAGACGTCGCCATAATTTGATGGAGGAAGCTAGACACTTTTCCCCATCGACAAGCAATTGGAATATAAAAAAAAAAAAAGGGTATTGTCCCAATGTGCTTGTGCACACGTAGAGGCGCAGTTGATGCCACTGGGTGAGTCCTAAATTGATTTATCCCCTTTTTAGGAAGAATGCCACTCCTCGCGAGTTGTTAGTGCGCTTACACAGCATAACGCTTTCCGTGGTGCTCCAAAAGTAGTAACTCTTTTCCTGCTTGAGGGAGTGTCCTCCTGTGACGTGGCGCCAGAATAGTGTGCAAGTGTTTACTAGTGTTCCTGTTCCCACAAGTAGATATTCCAACGGGGGGTATGTACGTCAAAAAATGATAAAATGGAACCAACGGGAAAGGTACATGAAATAGTAGGCCAAAGAGTTTTTAGGCAACCAAAATGAGCGGCAAATATCCAGACGAGAACTCCAAAATGGAAAGGAAGGGGAAAAAATTTTGGAATGAAGGAAACCTGAAATTTTTAAAAGTATACGCCAACGCCCTGTTTAAATACACGGAGCAGGAAAAGGACAACAAGTCGACAGATGTGCTGCTACTGTCACAAAAAATAGAAAGCGAAAAGAAATTAATAAAAATAAGCATAGAAATAATTTTAATTATCCTGTTCTTTATCCTGATTTATATATCCAACGATTTGGTAAAAATAAAAAACTTGGAAAATCACATTTATAACAATATAAACGAGTCCAAGACATACTCTGAAAATTTTTACAAATTCATAAGTGACGAGATAAGGAAAGGGAACAAGGATTTCTCCTACGAACCAAAGAAGAAAGATTATATAGCATTTAAAAATTTGCGATCGAAATTTGATCTCTCCTCATGGGTTAAAAATGCATTAACGGAAAGGGTATCCCAAGACAACTTTCTAAATAGTAACGTCTTATTTGGAAAATGTTGGAGAATAACAATGAGATTATACAAGAAGGATAATTCTATGATGGAAAATATTTATATGTACAGGAAATTTTTTGGACTTTACCCTGACAGTTCATTTTCGCAGGGGTTGGAAGATTCTAGAAATGTTGATTCTTCCTATTTTGACAAAAAGTGGAGCTATTTATTTTCGCATGATAAGTCGTATAAAAAAATTGGAGGATTATATCAAGTAATATGTGAAAAAGATTTTAGTAAAATTGAAGAACGTCTGTCTCAGGGTACATTTTATGCCACTGATTACCCCTATTTTATACCAGCTCTTATATTAACTAATTATAACATAGCCTCCGTTGCGATTGATTTTTTACTGTTCAATCCGTTACTCAATGTACTTTCCTACAACGTTTTCAAGTTTTCCTTTTTGCCAAATGCCAGAACGTACAAGGAGGTTGTAACACAGTCCGCTTCATATAATCGATTTGATGTCTATTTCATTGTTGCCTTGTCTGTCTTTATGGTGACATTCATTTTTTATGTTATTACCCATCTTCGGAAAATCAATATGGTTGGCTTCAGGATGTATGTGAAGTCCTACTGCACTTCGTTTGTCCTTACTGGTAAGCAGACACCTATTTGTATGCGCCCCTCCCTTGGGGGATCACCTTCCGTGCATGAATGCATACGTGCGTGTGTGGGGTACTCCATCGACTAGGCGGTCCCCCCCTCGTGTCGTCAATGTGGTGCACACCACTCGGCAATATACATAGTGTTTCTATTTTCCTCTCTTTTCTCAACTTCAGCCATTTTACATTTTTTTTTTTTTTTTTCTTCCCTTCTCAGTTTGCTTCGCTGCGAATCTCGTAACCCTCTGTCTCTTCCTCTTGTCCAGGACCCAGCTTCCCAAACTCATCGTGGGGTATGAAAATGGCAAGTACAAAGTAGACTCATTGAGCTACCAAAGCAGCGAAGATAGAATTATCGAATTTTTGCACGACATGAGCATAACCCTGTCACGCATAGAGTTAACTAAGAACATTTTCATCTCGAATACCATCATAACCTTCCAGGTGTGTTTCTTTGTGTGCGTAAAGCGATATGGTCTGTTGATAAAAAAATACAGCAATGTAGAGAATAACATAAGGAAGGATTTTTTACTTCCATTTTTTATCATCCTGTGCATCATATTTGGATGTTTGGCAATATTTTCCGTCTTCAGTTATACCCTCTTTCATATTGAAGAAAATGTCAGCTCCAGCATTGTCCAGACATTCATTTTCAATGTGTGTATTATATTTGCAAATTTTCAAGGAGTAAACATATCTTCCATCCTAAATGAAGAAAATAATTTGCCTTATTTGTATTCTATTCCTACTCACTTTTTTATCGTCACGGTGAGTTTCGCTTTTATCTTTTTTCTGGCTATTAAATCTTTCATCAAAAGAAACAAAAAAGTGTACAACGCGTTTATGCATCAGTACGGCCATAAATTACCAAAATGTAGAACTAGCTATAACAAGGACCCACAAGGCAAAAGCGGTCATTTAGATGCTGCTGAAATATATGATACTTCCCCCAAGAAAGATAACGCACAAAAGGAGAACTCAAATGTAGCAGGCCTAAATGACAACAGCACATTTGAAGTAACCGCATATTCGGAGGTAGAAGATGAGTTGGAAGAACAGGGAGACAACAATGCAGAGGACACACGCGACTCACTTGAGTATCTAAGAGATGGTGTACAAGAACATGACACACAATCATTAAGCAGTGATGACAGCAGTACGTACTCGCTGCACGAATCGAATGAATACGAAGTAGACCCAGGTAAATATGGTACGAATAAGGGGTTAAATTACAATGACGTGATGAGCATAACGAAAGGGTTAAATAAGAATAAAGAAGAGTGCACAGAAAAGAGGAGCACAAAAGAGAAGGCCTTTTTTACTATAGAAAAAATGCTAGACCTATTCCTAAACCTAAAAAACAGCACCGTCTTGCCCTTCTCTAATAGGGAAAAAAAACGCATTTGGAAAGATTACACTACGAACAAAAAGAGAAATGACGGAGTTTTGGTTTCCCTCTCTGTGTATACCTGCTTGCTGATATTCATCATGCTCTTTCTTATTAATGACCACAGAAAGGAGAGAGAAAGCGAAAAACTGTTAGATTATCAGATCAAAAATATCGGCTACCACCCATCTAATGCACACGTGTCAAATATGAAATTCCGATATTTAAAAAAAAATGTGAATGTAAATGTTAAGGAAACGTTTAACTTCCAAAAGGTACAAAATAAAACCGACCTAATTATGTGGTTAAAAACTTCTTTCATTTCATTTCTGGACAACAGTTCACGCGTCGTGGAGGGAGGTGCTAATCATTCCAATAGTACCTTCCTATGGAAAGACATATTTAGCTTGAAGCATGAACGGATAAGAATAAATATTATTTCAAGAGAGAAAATACGAACACCCAGTAGTAGACTCATATGCAACTATAAGAGACAAAAGTGCTATATGGACATATGGAACGAATCGGAACATTTGAAGAAAGGGCTAAACGAAATAGAATTACTAATTAATGATGCAACTGAAAAAGTGGAAATATCTTTTATTTTGTTTGACAAGAATGACTACCATAACATTTTGGTGAATTTACATTTCGTCTCCAATGCTAGTGGGTATATATCCAAAAAAATATATTTTGATCACTTATTTTTTAACTCCTTCAGTCTTATTCATTTCAGAGGGGTAGTAATTAATATCCTTTTCCTGACTATTATGTTTTGCTGCTTTATAAGCATGTACTTGTATTTGTTCAAGAATTTTTCCTACTTTTACAACGCATGTGCTGCGGTCATTGTGCCGCATGACCGGGCTAATGCGCAGAGGGCTGCCTGGCAGATGGGCCAGTTGAATGCTCATCCAGGTGAACACTTAGGGACTGCTAATAATGGGAATGGTTACATGTATGGGAGTTACTGGCCTTGGGGACGCAACGACGGCGGTTATGCAGGGGCGTACAACTGGAACGCATATGCGAATTACCCTGCGGCAGGTGATGCGAATTGGGGGGTATATGGGAATAACCCTGTTATGGGACAAGCGAATTATGCATACTACAATACGGTTAACATGCCGGAGGGCACGTTTAACTACGGTTTGGGTCAAGGCCATATGAAAACCCCCCTGAGTAGGAACACCAGCAAGACACACCAAATCGGCGCATTGCTCAAATTCAAAGTTTATCTGACGTACTTATTCGAATCAAATGTTTTAAATTTACTAATTCTGCTATCATCCTTTTCCATAGTTGCGCTATGGCTTACTGTGTGCATATACATCAACACGATAGAGTATAATGCAAATAACTCGTGGAGCTATTTTAATGTATACATAAAATCGTTTTCCTTTTTCTCCAAATTTGTGAATATCTTTTACTTGTTACTTTTTTTAGTCATAATAAATATGTTCATTTTTTTGTCAAATTATGTCAAGCGTCAGAAGTTATACGAAGCCTTATATGTGAACAGAAGGCAGATTTTGAAGTGTGGTTTTCTGCTGCTACTTGTGTACCTGAATTTTTTTCTTTTTCACTATTTTTTTTATGGGATAGACGGTTTCAACGAGTTGTCAATGAGTCAGCAGCCTATACACTCCATTTTAATTTTGTTGGGTCTCGTTAATATTGATGTTTATCTGAAATGCAACGTTTTCTATTTTTTATTTTTCGTGTTGCCTCATTTGGTGTTTATACGCTTTCTTTTAATGTATTCCTTTCTAGCTCCAGTTATGGCTAGCTATTTAATTTTACTACAACAAAGGAAAAAAAAAAAAAAGAAAAGAAAAAAAATAGCTAGCCAGAAAAGTGAAGATTATTCCTCTTTTACGTTAACTCATCTGAGCAACGAGCAATGGAAATACATAGATGAAGACATAAAAGACTTTGCAGCAAACGAAACTAATAGCATACTATATTATTTTGAAAATGTTAAAGACCAGATAAGGAGTAAAGAAGACATATCCAAAACGCTGCAACAGGAGTGTAATGGTTTAAAAGAACAGGTGCACGAGCTGCAGCTGGATGTGCGCAAAATACAGTTGCAGTGGAAATTCCGCAGTAAGCTCTTGAGTTCATCAAAGGCCTACCTAGACAAAATAAACAACCAAATAAGTATGAGGGAAGAAATGATTGTGGAGGATAAGAACAGGATGTCTTCGCTCAAGCAGTATGCGCAGCAGGTGAAGTTGGACGAATAGCCGCGGAAGTGAAACAGGGTGCCCTATTAATGGCAAATTCACCATTAGTAGTAGCGATCTCTACAGTGAGCACTTGAGCAAGATGCATCCCTGTAAGGGTTCATTTCAGTGATTGATGTGTAGGAAAACTTACACAGGGCGCGAATTTCTGCACAGTTGAACGGTGTAATGCTGTTCACGGGCGTTAAACCAGCCGTGTTGTTTTTATTTTTAATCGTGTGTAATGAAGACCCCAGTGGGGGGCCGTAAGGTAACGCATCTGGGATAAAAAGGGCGTAAGGCACAAATGAAATTCACGGGAATACCCAACTGATTGCCCAAGTGAAACCAAAGCAAACACACTTTCTCGTTAAGCTCAATAAATAGAAACAATGATTCACAGAAGGTGATCATTCGACAGAAATGTAGAAGGCAGGTTAGTGCATCGTTCGAAGGATAACACTTGTGGAGTTTTTCTCAAGACCGCGCCGCATGTGCAAGGGATGCGTAATAATATATCATGGTGGATCCGCCCTATTTTGCGCGACACGTCTGCCCAATTATGCATGCACTTGGATATATTAATTATGCGTAATACACCTCTTCATGTATATGTACAGTGGTGCAGATATATTTTGCTATTTATACGTGACCGCAGAATTCGTGCGAATGTATTTTTTTCGTGCCCCACCTTTTTGAAACAGATCATCGATATGATTGATCATGTGGAAGTGCAGCGCGCCCAAGGATGCAATCCGCACATGTACATCTACGCATAAGTGTATCTCATTTCGCATGTACACATGAGCATATTGTACATCATTTTAGAGAATTTCGAGTGTAGAAGTCGGAATAGCTCCGTGCGCCGGGTAGATGCGGGAAAAAAATGTAAATTCAGTTGAAATTACTTCGCTGGCCCGCGGTGAGCAAACCCTTTTTTTTGAAGTGGCAGTAGGGAAGTGTGAAGAGTGAAATGGATGCGTACGAAGGTATATGTGCTTATTCGTATGTTATTGTACATGTGAGTGTATACCCAGCTGACGCCATGTAACCATCCCTAACAAACATGAATTTTTATGGAAAATTACCAAACTGCATTTTTTTGGTTGTTAAAAATCGTTTTATTCAAATGGAACTGTATTAGAAAACGCCCGCCTGGGAGGTACCTACTTTTTTTCGTTTGCCTCAACATTTTAGTTGCAACAAAATGGATAACTAGGGGGAAGCGCCACTCTAATTGGAACTTCATCAGAAGGGCAACAGGCCCAATGAGAACAAAATTTGTGCTAAAAGGTGGCAGCAGAAGGAGGGTTGACAATGTGTTGTGGGTTAAAAAACAGAATGCCACGAACAGTGACAAAAGAAAGAATTTTGTGTTAATCCAGTGTGGAGTTAACAAAGACGAAAACAGAATAAGCTATACAAGTAATAATTTACCAAGTAATAAAAGCGTTCAGGAAATAAAACACCTGAGTAACCTCCAAAAGAATGTCATTTATCTGCTAGAACGGAACAATAACATCCTAGTACATGCCAAAACGTCCAGCGGAAAAACAACCATCTGCCTACTTTACCTCATTTTGAAATTCTATTATAAGTCTGAATTTGTGTTCGACGAAGATATGGAAAGGGACAAGTATTTGAAGAGTGATGAATACTTAAATAGCTACAAGAAAATGCTTCTTCTAAATGAAAAAAGGCACAAGCTGTACAGGAATAAACTCAAGTACACCCCGTTTAGTGAAAAATATGCTCAAATATGTGACATCCGGGAGGACACAGATTTGTTGATGGAGGAAAGGGCCAGAAATGTCTTAAAAAAAGGGGAAAAAATTCTGATCCTTTGCCCGTCTAAGGAACTTTGTGTACAAATTTCGCAGAATGTTCTGTCTTTGATGAATGGCAAGGACGACGGGGCAATTCGCCTCTTCATAGATAAGGATGGAATGGAGGATGATAATCGGTCGAGGTGTTTTTCAGCTCCCAGCTTATCAAATGATGAAGAAGCGGAAGGAACAAGTGCAGACATAGGCGGGGTGTCCACATTACCCAAATGTGGCAAGATGAATGACTCAACCAAAAGAGCTACCAATTTAAGGGATCACCTGTTCCTCATAGGAACTCCTATGTGTTTTAAAACCTTCCTTCTAAGCTTATCAAAGGAGAACTTGAAATCCTTTTTGCAAAGCATAAAGTATGTATTCTTCGACGAAATAGATAGGATGTTCCCTTCTATGAAAACGAGAAAATCACGAGGAATGAAAAACAGTACAAAGAAAAAAACGGCCTATTTTATCCTAGAAACGATTATGTATATGAATAAGAAGAACCTCGTTTTTGTGGGTTGCTCTAGTACCCTAAATAGGGAACTGCATAGGAGAATATTCAAGCTTTTGGCCTTGAACAGGAATAACGCCAGGAAGAAAATATACCTACTACGGGAGAGTAATAGCACTTCGAGTGAAGATACTCGTGGTGGAGCTGTGAGCCATGTGGATATGATACATCCGGATAGTCCTTACTTGCGGGACTCCATTGATGAGCCTCCAACAATTGATCCAAACCAAGATCGAGGGGATCCCCTTGGGGATCAAAAAATCGTGACTACTTCTTACCAAGAAAAGGAAAACACACACATTGATGATTACAACGATGAGGATGAGCGGGCATGTCTATTCTCCCAGAATGGTGAGGATACGCCCCTGCAAAAGTACGTAATCAAAGTGAGGCTGCCGAAAAATATACACCACTTTTACAGCGTAGTGAACGACCAGCTGTACAAGAGCAAAATTGAAGAGGCATACAAAATCATAAAACATTTTAAAAATAGAAAAGTACTAATTCTAGTTAAAAATGGATGCTCCCTAATAAACTTAAAGAGGTACCTATCCGACAGGAACATTTTTTCTGTATTGCTACATGAAGAATTGCAAATATCGCTCACGGGAAATAACAACCACCTGGATAATATGTGTCAACAGTATGCACATATAAAAGATTTAAAGGAGGAAACAGTTCTACAAAGTGAGGAAGAGACAAAGAAAAAATATATAAATAAGTACCCTGTTATTATAAGCTCCTTTGACAGCATTCGAGGTTTTCACATTAATAATTTAGAATTTGTTTTATTGTGCAGTAGGCCGAAAAATATAAATGAGTATATCCACCTGAGCGGTAGGGTTGGAAGGAGGAACAACGTCGGTTATTCCATTCTGTTGGAAGATGAAAGAAATGTCAATATTGTAACAAATTGGTTAACGAAAATACAGGTGCGTTTTTTCAAATTGGCACTAAATGGGGATACCTCAACAGACGCGGCGAGCACTGATTACTCTGAACAAGCTGAGAAGAGTGAGCAAACTGGACCAACGACCGACACAGATTACGGAAAAGACAATTTAAACTACATCACATCGTGCATAATGGATGAACTGAATGAGGATATTCCGTGATAGGTATTGATTTCAAAAAGGGGGAAATGCATGTCTATTTTTTTTTTTTTTTTTTTTTTTTTT